AGGACTCATTTTCCTTTTCCGATTTTCTTAGATTCTTCTTTACTACTTTATATTCCTTTTTCATATCCATAAATGCAGTAAATAACTCATTATAAGCATTTTGTAATTCATCATGATCATTTTCTTCACAAGAGGATGAATCGAATCACTAACCTCAACATCCGAAGAATTGTTGTTATTTGTCATCAAGCAAATGTTTGCTTCAATTTCTCGAGTCGCTTGATTCTCGAATTTGAATCACTCGTCATCCCAAGCAATATATGCTTTCTTCTTGAATTGCTTTTTGCCCTTATGTTCATCATTTTTCTTGTTTGGGCATTCGGTCTTCATATGCCCCGCTTCACCACAACCAAAGCATTTTATATTAACTGAAGAATTTTCTTTTACCTTTCCCTTACCTTTGAAAGGATGTCTTCCTTTTGCTTTCATCATCTTGGTGAACTTCTTTATAAAAAGACTCATCTCTTCTTCATCAATTTCGGAGTCTTCTTCTTCTTCTTTCTTATTATTGCTTTTTGAAATCTCGGTTTTGAAAGCAAGGTTCTTCTTTTGATATTGACCCTCTTCCTCATTTAGTCTTCCAAGGTCAAGTTCATGCTCCCTAAGCTTTCCAAACAACGCCGCCATAGACATAGTGGCAAGATTTTGTGACTCCGAGATGGCCGTCACCTTTGGTTGCCATTTCCTATCCAGAGATTTCAAAATTTTAACATTTAATTCATCAACGTCAAAAATTTTACCTAGTCCTGTGAGATGGTTCACGATATGAGTGAAACGTTTTTGTACGTCAAATATCGTTTCGCCTGGTTGCATCCGAACATTTCGTACTCTTGAATTAGAGAATTTTTACATGCTCTTTTGACGTCGTCAGCTTCCTTCGTGGGTTACTCTAAGCATTTCCCACATTTCCGTGCACTTTTACAAATAGAAATTCTCGTAGAACTCATCAAGGGTTAGAGCAGTATGAAATAATGTTTCTAGCCCTAACATCAAATTGTACTTTTCGACTTTCGTCTGCAGTCCATCTATCAAAAGGTTTAAGAACGTCAACACCGTTCTCGTAATTTTAGGAACAAATGGACCGTTTAAAATTGCGTCCCAAACACCTCTATCAACGTACTCTAAAAATATTTGCATACGTACTTTCCAAAAAGGATAATTTTGACCCGCAAAAAGTGGGGGTCTCGTTGATAGACGCACCTTCGACAAAAGTTTGATTTTGTCCGGCCATTTTCGAAAAGTTTGAATGACTATCAAAGCAAGCTCGATACCACTTGTTAGAATCGCGCAGCGAATGTTCGCGTGGTCGGACAAAAACCAAGAGGGGGGTGAATTGGTTTCTTAATAAAAATTAGGTTTTCAAAATTTCCCCAAATTTTACCGATTAAAAACTGCGTAAATGTAAATAGAGAAGAGTAGAGAAGATTACACAAGTAGGTTTATACTCGGTTCGGATCAAAAGACCCTACGTCCAGCTGCTAATCACTCAAAAGAGGATTAACGCTGTCACTAAGAACAAAGTTGTTACAACACAAATTATAATGAAAAAGATAAAGTTAAAGATAAAACCTCTCTTGAAATCCACAAGAGATGATAAACAACTTTTCCCTGGAGACTGCACAAAGACACAATCCACTAAGAACTCCACTTAGTGATTCTTATCGCTTCTAGCCTCACACCAAGTTTCCAAAAGCCCCGAAGAACAGCTTTTCCCGGAGACGAGCACAAAGACTCAATCCACTAAGAACTCCACTTAGTGATTCTTATCGCTTCTAGCCTCACACCGAAGTTTCCAAAAGCCCCCTTTCCTTGCAACAAACAGTTCTCCGGCACTCACAAGCACTTAACTTTTGTATGGAAAGAGTTGTTCTTTAGTTGTTCATTTTTTTCCGAGTGCCAAAGCAGAGTTTAAGTAGGGAAATTAGGGTTAAGGAATTGGGGATTTCGAAACTAGGGTTCTTGGTAATTGGGTTTTCGAAAATAGGGTTAATTTGAAATTTAAAAACAAAAACAGATCGAAATAATCGATTAAATGGAGTTTTAATCGATTAAAACAGAGCCAAATACGCGAACCCAATCCTCTCGGTTTAATCGATTATTTGGTGAAATAATCGATTATTTGACCTTTTAATCGATTATTTTGATGTTTTAATCGATTAAAACAGATGAGTATATGCTCGAAAATGGTTTTCTCACTCGTTTTAATCGATTATTTCCCTATATAATCGATTAAAGCCGAGCCTCGCATGATAAATTTGAGCATTTTGAAGCTTCTAAGTTACGGACTATGTACCGGCTATCTTAGACTCTATAATTACAGACTCAATCAAACTAAAACAGAGTTATTACAATACAGAAAACATCAATCTTCAATCTTCAATACTCTAAGTCTTTAAGCTCTTGGATCATCATCAAAATCAACATTCTTCATGATCATTATTTGCAACATCAAGTCCTTGAATGTTCAACAGATCTCTCTCTTGGTAAGGTTCCTATAGGGTGCAAGTGAGTGTATAAGATAAAATATCATGCTGATGGAACCATTGAGAGATACAAAGCGCGACTTTTGGCCAAGGGTTACACTTAAGAAGTATATTTCTTTGATATTTTCTCTCCGGTAGCCAAACTATCAACATTAAGGATAATCCTCGCACTAGTTGTTGCGAAAAATTGGTTCTTAAAACAGTTTGATGTGAATAATGCATTCTTACATGGCGATTTACATGAGGAGGTCTATATGGTTTTACCACTGGGCATGACAACAACCCACTCCAACCAAGTTTACAGGTTACGCAAGTCCCTATATGGACTGAAGCAAGCCAGTAGGTAGTGGTATGCCAAATTAATCACTGCATTGCTCTCTCTTGGTTACTCTCAGTCAGCTGCAGACCACTCCCTTTTCACTAAGTCTGATGGCAATAAGTTCACAACTCTATTGATCTATATAGATGACATTGTGCTCACTGGCAATTACATGGGTGAGATCACATCTGTTAAAGGACACTTGGATAAGCAATTTAACATCAAGGACTTAGGCCATTTGCGATATTTTCTAGGTCCCGAGATTAGTCACTCTAAGTTAGGAATATTGGTTAATCAAAGGAAGTACTCACTAGAATTACTAGAAAAAAGTGGTTTGCTTGCTGCCAAACCTGTCGGCACTCCAATGGATCCTTCTACAAGGTTAACTAGTGATCACTCTCAACCTTATTCGGAGCCTCAAGCTTATAGGCGAATGGTTGGTCAATTGCTTTATTTAACCACCACCAGGCCTGATATCTGTTATGTCACACAACAGCTAAGTCAATTCGTTTCCAGACCTTTACAGTCTCATCATCAGGTTGTTATACTAGTATTGAAATATCTCAAAGGATCACCAACTAAAGGTATTTTTTTTACTGTCAATTCCACTCTTACCCTCATTGTCTTTATTGACTCAGATTGGGAGACTTGTCTTGAGTCCAGAAAATCAATCACCGAATACTATGTTATGCTTGGTTCCTCCTTGATTTCTTGGAAAACTAAAAAGCAGATCACTGTGTCCAAATCCTTTTCAAAAGCTGAATATCGCGCTCTTGCAATATTATCTTGTGAAATACAATGATTACAGTACTTGTTGACCGATCTTATGTTACCATTCTCTGCACCAGTTTCAATCTACTGTGATAATCAATCAGATATCTACCTAGTTCACAATTCAACCTTCGAGGAACGTACTAATCATATAGAAATTAACTGTCATGTTATGTAATCAGGGAGCACATTCAATCAGGGATCTTATGCTACCATTTTCTGTTTGTGTCAACAAATTGGGTCTCTGATATATCTACAGTTCCGCTTGGAGGTATTATCACTCAATTTCCATTTTAGTACGAATGCTTAGTTATTAGAGTTTATTATTAAGTTTATTATACGGTTACATAATAGATGGGCTGTATCATTGCCTCAACCTCTTTCTTTATTATTTCCTGTATATAAAAATCCTTTCTTTATTATTTCCTGTATATAAAAATCGATATACACTACTTATGACGAGATATTCATGATGAGATGAGATATAAAAATGTGACTATTCAATAATTTACAAGAGGAAGCACATTCCGAGGCAGTGAAACATGTGGTGAGTCAAATAAGAGATGTCGCCCAAAAAGCTGAAATGTGGTTGACATACACGTCGCCAACGTGTTAAACACAAACGCAGAAAAACACTGAGCAAGTGGTTCCACCTCAAAGAACGATTCATGCTGCTTCACACGGTCAACGCCGAGATAGATAAAATAATACAATTATAATATTAATATTATATTAGATGTTTTCATAAACACGGTTATCAAATAGTCTCCATGTTTGTCCTCCGGTTATGACTATTTCTTTTATTGTCATGATCATCATACCATTAGCAAATTAACCAAAATCCTAAACCCTACACTGAAAAACAAAATTTTATATATATATACTTTCCATGATTACTTTATTTTTTAAGTTAAGTATTTAGTTAGATTACTAATAAAATTATTCTGTCTAAATTCTAAACAAGGTTGTGTTAATATTAAATCAAATATTCATTATTAGTTGAACATAATATTAAATAAATTCTCTTACAAATTACCAGCACAGAATTATAAAGCATGCCAAAATAGGTCTTACAGAAGGGGGCAAGCCAACACAGAACTGCTCTATAAATGTTAAATATGTGCAATTAAAACTTGAATTCCATGTGTGAGATCATCTAGCATGTCAATAATACATATGGAATTGATATCCAAGCTAAGTTAAGAATCAAAGTCTAAAAACATATACAATTGGTTGATGCAATTTACATTTTCACCGTGGAATTGGGAAGAAAAAATTTACCCACAGCGAAGGTTCCCAATGGTCAGTGTCCTAATTTCCCAAAAGTCACTTTCTCACGCAGCATTTTTTTTTTTTTTTGTCCTTTCTATTTTCAAATCCTGTTACCATAATTTTAAATTTGGTATATGTATTTGCTGTGTTCCATTTCAATAAACCAATTTATGTAGTAGAGCAAGTGGAAACAAGATAATCATCCAGTTGATGTTTAAAACGGAAGCAAAAGATATGTGGTGGAAACCAACTAAATGGACTGTTCCCGTGCGCTCATCCCTCACTTTAATGCTTGAAGAACCTGAGATACAACATAGAAAATATTATTAAATGAACGATTACGCAAAAGTAAATAATACAACTAATTTGAAATTGATTTCTTTATACTTTCCTTGGCCATTCTACTCGAACCTTACACCAATCTTATTATCTATAATTCATTCATTGAACAGGTAGTAAGTGGATAAAAAGTAATAGTCAAGGACGGCACTTTTACACCAAACACCTCCGCGATGAGCAAGCAGATACTTTAAATTGTTAAATTGAATCCATAAACCACACAAAATTATTCTTTTCACGGAATTAAGAACTAAGGGTCAATTTGGTTTTTCAACACTGCTTTATTATTTTAATCTTCAATTATAAAAAAATATTAGAAAAGTGCCACAATTTTTTCATTTTGTTTGGCTTCAAATATTAGCAACCTTGGGTATTAAGTGGCATTGCCAGGATTTGAACCCTGGACCACTTGTACACTGATTTAATGTCAACTCTAATGAGACTAGGTGCAGCTTGGGATATAAGTAGTATGCCTTAGGTACTAAGTTAAATCATCTGCCCCTCTTAAAAAAAAAATATCAACAGGCTTTCATGTAATTTATGTATTATTTTTCAATTTTGCCTCAACTGCCCCATGTCTATTTCTCCATTTAATCCATTCATCTTTGTGAGATGCAAGTGTGTTGAGTTCTTCTAAAGTAAATTAAACTGACACCTCTTAGATTTTTTTAGAATACCCATAATCCTCCTGTTCTGTATCTATAACAACTTCCATCAATGTAATGTTTTCCAAACAAGATGGATGAATGTAATGTATAAAGAGTGATCGTATTATATTTTTTTCAAACAATTAAAGGAGTTAGTGAAGGGATAGAAAAAACATTTAAGAATGTCAGTGTAATTTACACTTCCTTTGATTATAGATGTTTTCACCAAAATCTACAAATATTTCATATTTTCATTTTTATTATTAAAATATTTAAAATACTCAATATCATAAAGAACTAAGATACGATACTCACAGTTGTATTCAGTCCATCCAATAGCCTGATTTTCAAGGTCGTAGAAGACAAGTTTATTTGAAAGCACTAAATCTGCAACAGATAAAAATATAGGTGAAGCTACCGCGTAAGATCAAGGAAAGCAAACTTTCTGGTGATCCAAAACGATTATCGATAATAACTCCACTATAATTTACATATAGAAAAAAAATATCAGGAAAATTCTTCCACCAGTAAAAATAATACATTGATCAGAATATTTAGCTTGTAATACCAAGTAATTTTATATCCAGTACTTAAACATTTGCTGCACATCAGTGACACAATAGGGAATTTAGGTTGGTATAAGTTATACTCATCATCGCACTAAGTATTCAAAACTTGCAGCATAAAGATCTGGCTAAATGCCCAGGCCCCAAAACAAAACATCATAGGACACAGGAGAGGGCCACCAGCACTCTATTGCTTTGGTAATTCACCAAATGAGTCCGGAAAATACATTTTATTAGTTTAAATTTCAAGTTTCACTTTCAAGTGGTCAGGTTTCACTTCGTTTCTACTTGACGTATCTGGAAAAAAAATAGTTGGTCATTTAGAGGTTCATTTGATAATATGATTAAATAATGTAATATTCTACAAAAAATCCAGTTAAGAAACTCACGTGATCCTACATAATGTGTTCTACAATATGCATTTATGAAGTTTGTCTTGTTTATTTCAGAACTCAGATTTAACCAGGTTCAAAAATGTTTCATCCCAAAATGCTGTTACAAAATTCACCCTTTCTTTCCCCCTATATGGCAGTCTCATTCTAAAGCTGGAAGCAGTATCAAGCAAATATCTATGGGTACAGAGAAAGATTTGAAGATAATACCTCCTAATAAGGTCATATTTTTGTTATCTCTTGATTGTGTCCCACTATTTTGCCAACCAATACACCAGAAATCTCCCTGCAGATGCACATTAGTATTTAATTTATAGTATGGTATACAAAGATTTTGAATGTAAAAATATTGACATATATAAAACCTGCTCAAAATACTGGGCATTAATTAACGAGTGTTATGAAAAATCATTTAAAACTACTGAGTATCTAAATGAGAAAATAATGGTTAATAAGGTTTTAGATAGGAAAAAATTATATGTATGTGGCATTTGCAAAACTTTTCCAGAACTCACAAAACTAAATTTGGAGTAGATGGAATACAAAAAGGTTTTTAGTATGCGGTGTGGACACTTTAGGTAGAAGTAACTTTATGTTACTTTAGCCCAAAACACAGTTACAGTTAGGGCACGATGCAGTTGAGTTACATTTAGGGATAAAGAATTGTTGGTGGGATTCTAGAGGTGATGATGAAATAACCATCAAGCAATTTTCTTTCTGGGTAAGATTGTGCAGAATATTTCAGAATAAGAGAAAGATATTTTGGAACTGAATCACTCTATTTTGATTACTTTTTTTCTCTTCTTTTTTCTTTTCTTTTTAAATTTTGTATTACATTAAGAAATGTTATAAAAACTCATAAATAACAATTATAAATATAAATAACTACTTCAATACAATTTAATAAAATGTCTTCCCTATTAGAATTTAAAGTTTTGAATATGTATTTTTGATTTAAAAATATATGATATGGTGAAGTTTCTCTCATTATATTTTATTCATGTACTCCATATATAAAATAAAAATATAACAAAATAAAGTATTAACAATATATCAATCTTGATTATCTAAATCAAAATAATAATATAATTTTTTTTCTTAGGCCGAGACATAACAAAAATATCTTAATACCTAATTTAAACAAAAAAGATAATAAAGCATATATATTATAAATAGGCATTTAAAAACCACAATCAGTAATTGCAGTTGGAATGCAGTCCCAAACACAACTATATGCATTAATTAAGAAAGGGATAACAAACGTGATGCATGAGCAATAAATAATGAAGAGAAGGCTGACAATAGGTCCCAAAACAAGCCAAATAAAACCCTCATAAACCACAACAAAACAAAGATCAACCAGGGTTCCAATATACTTACAGAAGGAAATAAGTAATCATGGGGATAAACCTTCAACGAGAGTCCATTTTCAAAATAAAATATGACAGCCGGGAATCCATCATCAACACTGCATCGATAAATACAATAGCCATTACACTCGTGAATGAAGTTGATACAGACATAAAGGCATAGCGTGTATACAAAGGGAGCAGTCCAGTTATCAAAGCAATCCAACAATACATATAAAATATAAAATTTTCAAGAAAACTGAATCTCGTTTTGAATATAAATAACAAGATATACATGAAAGTACTTGCTTATACCTTGAAAAAAAAAAAACTTTTTATTAAATTATCCAACTTGAGATGATGAACTGTTTGATTGATTAAAATGAAAATAAACAAATTTTCAACTTTTATATTAATATTTTCTTTCGGTCATTTATCTTTTATAAACTTAAATTCATTTGACATGAAATGACTAAAAAGATTGAACACAGGACAAGAACAAGACTCATTATAATTGTTGAAAACAAAATAAAATACAAAAGCTTAAGTATAATTAAGATTAAGAGGAATTTCCAAAAAAATAATTAGAATATTTCATCAATGTGGATTACACAAAATTGTATTTAAACACTGCTAGAGATGGGATAATGTCTCCTGTGAAAAGAAATCAAATAAAAATTGGAAGCTATAAAAAATGAAAAATGGAACAAAATTATTTTGTTGAAAGGATTTTATATTTTAAGCATTTTTTAATATTAAAATTCAAATACTACGATGAAATATTGTATGTTAACTTTCTGTAACATAAAGTGTTATTGTGGTTATAATATTTGAAAATGAGATTTTTTATATTTAAAATTTTATATTGAAATATTTAAAACATTTACAAGGTTACATTATAGCTAAATTAGCAGTGTCATGTTAAAATGAAGAAAAGATTAAACAATTGGAATTTAACATTTCAAAAATATAACTAAATATAATTGCTGAATATTTTAATATCAAGCACACTATAAGTAGTCGTTTCAATGCATGACATTAATGCATTAATGTAATTAGGGATGGAGTGGTTATCAAAGAAGTTTTCCAGCACCAAAATAAGATTTGAAATGGCAAATATTTTTTGTCCACGTGCCAGACCCAAAGTCCAAATGGCAAGATTACCTAGACAACTCCTTTAACATGACTACATGTCAATGTTGTTATTATTGTTATTATAAAAAAAAAAAAAAAAAAAAAAAAAAAAAAAATTATTGTCAGAACAAGAAGATAAGAAATCTTCATGGATAAAATGACACCACTAAAAAATAAGAAAAAGAAACATAAATTAAGAAATGTGCAACACAGCAAACCAAAAAAGAGCATAAAACCACAAAACAGCTACTGCAGATTAAATTAAGAACATTAAAATGATTAAATAAATATTACAAAACAATATGTGAATCAATACTGCAAAAACCAGCAACAGAATTATAGGATTCAGAGCATACAATCATTAATGTGTCCTACGGGGAAAATAGAAACAATGTACAACCAAGAGGACAAGACATCTACTATAATGGAACAGAAGGAATGAGCTGTAAGAAAATCTAGGAATGGGAACAGTAATTGTTTTCTAAGTGGAATTTAGAAGTGGATAATGAACGGTCCTATCCTGGAAAACTAGCTATGCCATGATGAAGTTACATGAATATCCAGGAATATAAGCTCAAACACCAACAACCACTAGACAAGCCAATGCTCATGACAGCTAGCTTAAAAAATGCCAACATGGCATTCAATTGCCATATTGAAGGTGGAGCCAATACTAAAGAAATAATAACAACAATACAATGAAATGAGTGAAGAACAGAGTTGATACTAGAGGAGCTCGCCTAGCTAACTTAATGGTGATTTCACCCTGTTCAAAGAAGATTTCTCACCAGACCAATTTCTAAGGAGATCAAAGTAGAACAGAATTTGTCAAAAGTCAATTCCTCTTCTGATGTGTTTTCTTTCAGTCTTTTTTATTAATTTACCATACATGGTTGAAGGGCAATTCCACCAAAAACAGAATAGACAAATATTCACCTCCCTTCCATTTCTGTGACATATGCCACACACTATGGACTCCACAGATATGGGGAGTGCAATTGTGTCATGTTCAATAGCCATGCGAAAGAAGTTTTAGAGAAAGACAGTATGAAAGTACTGTTAATAACATTATCAACCCTGAACAACCAATGTCAGAACCACACAACAAAGAAATATTCTAAAGCCTGCATGCCAAAGTAAGCTACCAAAACACCTCTGTGTGTTCCCACCCAACAAGAAGACACTATAAATACATGCATATTTATTTTCAGATGTGTGTTAAAAAGAATATTATATGCACACTTAAAACCCCAGCTATAGTATTAGTACAGTACTAGGATTAATGAATATGCACATTAAGCATCATACCTCTCAGAATATTGAAAGCATGTATACTCGTCATGTAGAGTCTGAACTTTTAGATCAGTTTGCTGAGAAATAATCTAACAAGGAAAATCAATTCAGACACTTGTATGATAAAATGTTATGTGAATTTAGTAATTAACAGAAATTAAGACTTTCAGCTGAAAAAAACGAAATTTTATATTGATTGTGTACTTTGTACATTCACTGATCTCCTTTTATGGGGTAAATGACTGCTTAAAAAGGAAATAACAATAATAAGGAGATAGGGAAACAAATATAAAAAGCAATTTAGAGATATTATTCACCTCCTAAATGTTTATGATATTTACAACACTTTTATATACCTTATACACTAGCGGTTCATAAATCCCTTCAGGCAGATAGGCCAAGGTTGTACCACTATCAATTATTGTCCCTTTTCTGTCCCCTTGTGCTGAAGCATCTGTTGATAGACTAAGGAAAGTATGGCCAACTTGAACTGCTGTCATGTTGACACTGTAGTGTGGCCTAAAACAAAATCTCAAATGTCATATTTTCTCAAAATATAGATTTCGTTAAACCAATATCTGAATAGAAGAGAAACTACAAGTATCAAATTTATTAAGATCCATTTAGTTAAGGTTATGATTGACCAAGCTTATTTTTTACTTAAAAGCTACTTAGCTTAATAATTCCTTTTAAGATAAAAGATTTGTTTCATTGTTCCGCATCAACTAGTTCGGGAAGAAAGGGGGAAAGAGGTCAAGGAATGCTGCTTATTTGTAAAAACCAACTGTAGTTAGCTTTATTTAAATAAACTAATTCTCCTCCCTACTTCCTTTATTAAAATTAAGGTCCTCAATTTTTAAGAGCTGTGTTTGGCTCAAATTCTCCTTTTAAGGAGAAGAAAAAACAAAAAATGTTAGGTCAAACGGTACCTATATTTAGGGCCTAGATAATACTTGTAATGACTTGGGCAGGCTTTCAAGGCTAATTCAGCTCCAGTCTGATGTCAATTCTAATAATAGTAAACAAAACTATCTGTGCATAGAGAAATTGACCAAAGTCCAGCTTAACAAAGATATCTTGTTTTTCATTTAGGATATAGGGGAAGAAAATTATGGTTTTTATGGTAGAAGAACACTGAAAAATAATGAAACTTAACTTTGACCATTAGGAAATCCTCCTGCCAGATTCAACTAACATGAGATTCATTTTACATTCAAATTACAGTTTTACTAAATAATCATGACACCTCTAGCAAGTTTTGGGATTAAATTAGCCCAAATTCAAAAAAGCTGTGTTCTGTTATATATATCATAAAACATATTAAAATATCATCACAAAATATAACTTAGACACCAGCAAAATCATGATAAGAAAACTAGAATTAATCCCAAAAAGAGTAATTCATAACACCACAAGAAAAACTAACTCTGATTCTAAAGTGTATTAAATAATGGCATACTGGTCTGATAATAGAGGAGTCATGTTCACTTTAGGTTGCACAACATGCCCAATAGCAAATATACCACCTCCATTTACTCCATTTAAACAATGAGCAAACATCTTTTTCACTTTGCCAGAAGAAGCAAGTTGTGAAATTATTGAAGAATTAGCTTTTCCAAATCCAAGTATTCCGTCAAGTGCTTCTTCATTTGCAGAACTTAGATCTCCAGATTGTCTAGCACCACACCTACAAAACAACAAAATATTCATTTTAAATATAAATAGCACCTCAACATTAAAATATCATACACAATAAGAATCACCAGGAAATCATTACAACCTAAGCGCCTCCTGTATCACATCAGCTGTTAGAGTATTAGAAATATTTCTAAGAGTGTTCCACATGTTAAGGTGATTCACTGCCTCAGTATTTACTAAGCCATTTTATTTACAGCGTGTTTGATAAAACTGATAATTTAGCAGTTAGATTTAAATTCAAGTTTAGCATTTAACAAACCTAAAAAGGATAAAATAAAGGAAATTATAATCCACGAAATAGTTCCTGTTGATATATCATTGACATGACAAAATTGCTGAATTATTCAACATAAATTTATTTTCAACTTTTGTAAGGTTCACATTACAAAACTTTGCTAAGGAAACCTACAGTAAATTTCAGCATGGAACACAACAAAAGGAACACTGCAGAAGTACAATGTCAGCATTCTGACTCTCAATCTTACTCAAATAGAAAGCTGACTCAAAACTATAAGCAAAGCCAAGTATTTTCTAAGGCATCAATATTAATTTCGGTGAGGAACTAGACCAAATTTGTATGCTTCTTAGTGAAATAAAAAGCAGATTCAACCATTTTGAAGAGTAATACCTGCACTAAGGTGCATCCATTTTATGTTAAGATAATATCCATATATGAGAAATTATAGTATTGCTAGTTTGCAGCTAAAGCAGCAGGTGAAATTACTATAAGCAAACATACTTGGTTTCTGAGTTCAATACGTACGAGAAATTAATATCCACTAGCAGCAACCTATCAAAAGTAATAGCATGCATTACTGTCACAAGAAAACTCACCCAAATATAATACTTCCATTAGCCGAATTAGTTTTAAGGTCCCCAGACACTTGATCATAAAGAACAATATCCTTTACGAAGTTACCAGCAGTTGAGCTTCCATCACCATATATCTCCAGATATGGACAGGTAATATTAGCAGTGCATCCAGACAGAAGACCCCCATTGACCTCTTTGCAGAACTCTTGATCACAAGGAACAAATTTACCAGAGGAGGATTCCTTTATGTCATAGAGTGTAAGGTCCATCTGTGATACACAGAAAATAAATTCAAATGAATGAACATATAATTGTTGACATGAGGAGGCACATAACTAAAACAATACTTGGTAAGGACAGTAAAAGAAACATTGACCCACATAGCTAACAAGGCACCCAATTAAAATGATAAATGGTAAGAGAACAACATCTTGCAGATTTAGAATGCACCTAAGGAAGTGTTTGGCATGTAAACAGACTGTAACAAAATAAAAACATCCTTCCATACTTTCTTCTCGTTGGTTCTAACTACTTAGAGTGTGTTTGATAATTGGAATGCATGTTTTTTGCAGTCACTGTCGTTTTCTGAAGCAACAAATAGTTGCTTCTATGTTAATTTCACCATGATTTTACAATGGCGTGGATTTCTACTGTGTTACAAAACAAGCACATAGTGAACCCAAACCATAGCATAGTTTAACCCCGTGTTATAAGAGTAAATAATCCATGCCCTGACTGTGTAAAAGGTTTTCACATGTCAACCAATCAGAAACTGCCATGTATGGTAATTTGGTAGACTTTAACAGTGACTATCTTTAAAGTCATACCTAACATGATTTTTGAATGGTTAGCAATGTAAAAACTCCCTACACAGCGTATAGATTTTAGGTTTAATTACTCATGTCCTCGTACCTGCACAATCTTTATGTCTTAATCTGTACACCTAGAAGCTACTCGATTTTGTCCCTACACATACACTTTTTAATCCAGTTTAGTCTCTGTCATCCAAAATTGTAAGGACTAAAATGAGTCAAGAAGTATACATGTAGGGACTAAAATGAGTAGCTTGAATGTGTAAAAACTAAAATGTATAGAGACAAAATGAGCAGTTAAATCTAAATAAACTCATGTTCTAATCAATTCTAATTTTACAATGCATAGAAAAAAAAATATAATCCTAGGCAAGCACCTTAGACAAGTGAAGAAGGCAGTAAAGTAACAGTAGGGTGGCTAAACTAAAAAGATGGGGTAACCCACATGCGTGATACACTTTTAAAAGTAAGAAAACTCAAAATAAATCTCAATGTTGTGACTTTAGTTTCTAAACATAGCTATTCATTGTCATTTGCGTTCCTATAAGTTTGTTAATATCATCTCTTAAACCATAAGATATTTTAAATTTTCAACGAAATTTTGATTGCGCTTTCAAATACTTTTTTATGAATTCTACTAAGTTCAAAGGCTAAGTGACATCGTCTCACACTATCAAGAACCAAACTGGGTATTTACCCTAAAAAGATGAGAAACTTACACCAAGGTTACTTCTGGTTGGGCACTCTTTGCACTGAATGCAATTGACCCACATAATGTCACTACCAGTGTCCACCTGCAAGTAGTAATTTTTCGGAGGAGTTCCAATTCCAATTTTAGCATAGTAAAGCCTACAAACACAACAAATCAGTTCAGAAGATGATCGAACCAAAATTGAAGAAAGGAAGGAATTGACTAATAGCCATGGACGGACCCGACGGCATCAGGACGGCCGCTGCCGCCGAGGGGGAGGTCAACTCCGGCGAGAAGGGAGAGCTGGCGGCGGTAGTCATGAGCTTTGAGGGCGGAGAGGGAGCGCTCCTGGTACTTGCACTTGACGTTGAAGACGCCATGGGTGGCGCTAACGACACTCGCCGGTGACGGTGACAGTGAGAGGAGCAACCACAGGCACGCGGAGACGATAATTGTTCTTCTTCTTCCGCGAAGCATCTCCATGATCGTGATCCTCACGCGATGCAGCGAGTGTTGTGAGGCGTTGTGTTTGTTCGGTGAGTGAAGAAGACTCGAGAGAGGGAGAAGGAGATTGGGCCCACGCGCCAGCACGAGAATGGAGAATCTCCGATTGGTGGGAGATACAAAATAAAAATCGTAATTTTATATATATATATATATATATATATATATATATATATATATATATATATATATATATATATATATATATATATATATATATATATATATGGATGGTTATAAAAAAAAAATCGTTCTAAAAAGAAAAATAGAAGAAATTTCTCCTTTTAAAATAAATAAAAAGTCTACTTTTCACGTGATAACTATCATACAATGCTTTATTTCTGCTACAAAAATATATTTTTTTTGGATAAGACTAATTTCATATTCTCCAACCTAAAATTTGACGAGTAAATTAAAAATAAAAAGTTATTGAAATTCTTTTAGAAATAGCATTTTTCATTAAAAAAAGTTTTTATTTTTCTATATGATCCAATTGAAGGACATCTTCATGTACGTGTTGTAAGTCTCATAATTAATAATTGAACGTGTGTTAGTGGACTCCACCGTGTAATTAGTGAAAGTTCTTTATAAGGTGGAGCAAAATTAAAAATATGTAGTGTGCATGACTTTAATATTAATACTTTCGTAATGGGGCTTTTGTTTATTGATAATGTATGGAAACAGAAATGAAAAACAAATAGAAAATATAATTTAGTTACGATTTGTTCTTTTTTTTAGATTTTTAAGATCTATTTTATTCTTAATCCAACTCTTTGTTTTATTTTTTTAAAAATCAAACAAAATTGTTTATTATATTTAAATATAATATTGTATTTAAATTGAATTAACAAATAATAATTTAAAAAACTGCTTTACAGTTTTATTAAATTGTAATTATGATATATCTATATATGATAATAATAAAAATATAATTTAATTATGAGATTATTGTTCATAAGTATAACAAAAGTTGTAAGTATATATATATATATATATATATATATATATATATATATATATATATAAACAAATCTAACATGTTTATTTTATTAGGAAGTTATTTATTTATTTAATATATTTTTTTAAATTAATAATTTTACCGTAACGATTAAAATGGACACAAAATTCTGTATTTTGTGGGCTTAAGTTCTGGAAATCCACCTTTGAATTTTAACTTGGCATTTTCTATATGCAATGACATAATTGATAATAAGATGGCTTAGAAGAAATTAACGTTGATGATGGTGGAAGTAAATAATGTTACCTATTCGCAACTTTAATTCAGCAATTCAACCTTATCATCATACATGGGTTAAGTCATGTTAAAAATAATCTTAATATTTAATTTAATGCTCTTTTTTTTTTTTAAATAACAACATCATGAACAGTTTGTGAGAATTAATTAAACTTTCCACAAGTAGGGTGACTATTGTGGGTTATTTCACTTAATCTTTTAACCTTGTTTTTAAATTAAAACCCTACAAGAATGCCATTTTAAAAAAATAGAATGTTGTGCTGTCTGCGTAAAAAATTATTAAATATTAAAAATATATAAGCGTACTTTTGTTACATCGCATTTTTCTAGTGATAATTTTAATGTTACATAATATATATGTATAAGATATGAATTTTAATTAATAAAAATACAACTTTAATGTTGTGTCATTATTATTTAAAAAATATTTAGTTAAAATTGAATGATAGTATATTTTCTTTTATATTTTCAGTATAATTAGCTTCTAATAGTTAACTTTAGATTAACGAAACCTAACAACTAGGAGAAAGGATCCAATTGAAAACATCATGCTAAGGGACTATTAAAATAAACTTTTTAGAAACTTGATCAAAGATATTAAATAATAAATAAATTACGAAACAACTTAAAATGTAATAATAATATGATGATAGTTTTAATTATATTAAAAATAACTGCAGTGTAATTATAATAACGAAGACGTGTCAACCATTACATATGAAGTTCAGATGCGCGTACGTGTAAAAGAAAATCCCTTACTCCATTAAATTATAATTTCCTTTTTAACTTGAAACCCACCTCAGGAAATTGAAAGTTGAATTTTCACTCTGAAGCGACGTTGTAAACAATTTTATTCAAAATTTGAAAACAATTTTATTCAAAATTTGAAAACAATTTTATTCAAAATTTGAATTCCGATATATATAAAAGAATAATCCGTACATATACTCACGATTGAGCAAAAAACAATCTTTGTTGATATCCAAAACTGAAAAAAAAAAAAACCCTCCCCAACATTTTTTTCTATTACGCTTTTGGCTGCATGATCTAATCACAAACAAAATCATAAGAAAACTATATTTCCCGCTGAACATGAATCGTGCTGATTTCTTGCTTCCCACAAAATATTATATAATGAATGAACATGACTGTTTTACAACCATCATTAAGGAACCCTTGATTGTATAACCCAAAACTGATGCCTTCATCAATACTCATGGACTATACTCTCTCAACCCAAAAATAATGACCGAAAAAGGGTGTAAAAAACAAAATTTTTTATATCATCCCTCACCAAAATTTACCAATAAAGCAATTGGCGACCCACTACCTGTCTATGTGACAGGCAACAAATATTACAGAACTCGTATCCATGAAACATAATACGGTTGGCACATACATGGAGACTATAAAAGGAGCTCATGAAATGGAAAAGTGAAAGGGGTAGCGGGGGACGGACAACACAGTCATGGCAAGAATGGGTACTTTACTCCGAAAGGACACCCCAAAGCACCAAATAATAAGCTGAACTAAGACCTGGAGAAAGTGCTCACTCCACAGTTCCCTCGATGTATCATCCTCTGTATAGTCAATGGGAACTACGTTGAGCAGATCTCCAATCACTTCAAAACTGCAAACTCTTCATGATCAAAGACCAACCAAATGGTGACCACAAAGCCGACAAATGCCTCAAATACAGGCAACCCTCTGATTCTCCTAAAGAATGGGCAACATCTGAGAACTTGAGAATAAAATAAGCAACAGTAATAATGTACATCCAGAAGCTTAAGAAGTTGTGGCAGCCGTTGCCTTCTCTAACTTTTCCTTTTCAATTTCTACCCTTCTCTGCTCAGCATGCTGGGCAACACCATTAGCGAGAGCTTGATAATTGAACTCAAGTGTCTGGGTGAGGTTCTCAAACCTCGATGGATCCGATGATTGTATCACTACAGTAAAATTATTTTGTAAGGTGAACGTGTTAGATGCTGACAACAAGAATAATGATGATGACAATTGGGGAACATAAACATTTTAGCTTACCTTTGATTGTATCCACAAATAAAATGAAAGGATCAATCTCATCAATCGGGGAATGCAACTCTTCGTCATCACTATAATCATCATCTGAATCATCATCATCCTCATCATTGGGCCGGAATGACTTCGCCTACGTGCAACAGATGCAGAATGAAAATAAAATTCACAGATTCAACAAATCCCTAATAAATAAACGTCACACAATTAGCTGGTTATCACTGAAACCTGTCCGATTCTTTTTCATCGGATCAATCAGTGAACCCAGTGTTGACCTGGACCGATATTTTTACCTAGGTGCACACAGATTTTAAAGCAAAAGCAATTATACGGGGACTCAAAACCAACAAAATGTTGCCACTATGCAATGACGAAAGCTGTAACAAGAGACTGCTGAACCTAGAAGGTTACATAATCAATAAAATCTTCCAACAAAACAACAAGCTAAAATTAACAGATTTTTAATTTCAACATTAACAAATAAAAAAATTAACGTTAAACTTAGGTTTTTCATTTGACCTATGTACTTATTGCAAAATTGGACTTAATGATAAATTATATTATGAAAATAACTGCGATTCAACCAAAAAACTGGACGACATACACATGAACACTTTTAAAAATTCACTACTCCAGATTTCAAATTTAACTAACTGGATCTTTCAAAATCAAACGAAAAGTTCAGGGACATAGTTAAATGTATAATGACCTGAGCAGAATATGAACTACAAGAATATCCATCTTACAGCTCATTCAAGCATATAGGCATACCATAGAATTCCTTTATATGCAAGCAGATGATTTTAAGGTCATCATAACTACACACCTGTTCAGCCAACTTTCTTAGTGTGATAGTATCAGTATCTTCGCCGTCATCAGCATCAACTCCCATTTCCTTGTCAAAACCATTGCCATCCTCATCTTCATCATCAGTTTGAAAACCATCCATATCATCGTCATCTTCAGCTTCTTCCTCTTTTGCAGCTTCTGCTATGAGTACAATAGGCTGAAAATTAGGCACTTATAACAAAACTACTGTTAGGAATTTAAAAAAGCAACCAATGTAAATGACATCAATCTACCCCTCCTGAATATGATTATTTGTGACAAATCAAAGTTACAGAGACAAGGAAGACATACAGACCTGCAACTTGATCCTTGTAGGCAACTAGAAGATCAAGATTTGCTCGGAACACCCTTCCTAGAGCCTCTGCTGGCAATTGATCAGCAGGAAGTGACAGTAATGACGTCAAACCAAGGCAGCATACTTTCTTTTCGTGTTCCCTGAATATACTTTGTTAGTTTACCAACACAAGACAGATTTAAATTGCCATAGACAATATTTCTACTTTGATACCAAAGCACAGTATGAACATACAAAGTAAAATTTGAACCAGTAATGGTGAAAGTGTAAAAAATAACAAACCTTTTAAAGTTAGCACGCATTCCACTCTTCTTAACTTGTTGCAGCAACTGGAACCAAAGATGGAAGATTTCTGATGCAACACCTAGCTTTTGCAATATGCCAAGGGTCAGTGCTGCATTGTAGTAAAGAGCATCTGCAATCTGAAAATAATTATCTCCTCTTAGAACGAATTAATGTATGATGTCATTTACTAACAGAAATAATGTTTGAAACCCTAGCCAACATACAATAGATAAACTAAACTCATTGGGTGATCAAAAAAGGCCTCAGATTTATTACTTTGGCCCTTTATTTCCCCATTTCTTTCTGGGTTATGTAGAATGAAGCTTTGGCTATGGACTACTCGAAGAGCCCTGATTTCTTATTTGCACCAGTAAATTATTTCCATCAACAATTGGAGGAACTGATCTCAGGTTAAATAATACTTGTGAAGCTTTGATTTGGATAAGGTTTTGTTATTGTTGTTAACTGTTGTAGCTGGCTATGAAACTACGACACAAAAATACCTCTAACCAACTTCTTACAATCCACCCACATTTACTAAATTGGAAATTCAAAATATATCTTGCACTAAAATTATTCCAAGTTAACATGGTTGAAGAACAGACAGGTATTAGGTGTACATCATCAATACAACACACCCCAGCAAAGTCAAGATATTGACTAACATTATATCCAACAAGCAACAAAATCCGTTTCCCTGACTACTTCAGTCATTCATGTAATGTAACTATTGAACGTAACACCCCCTTACCACTTGCATGAAAAGACATTTCAGATATGATTTTTCAGTGTGACGCAGGCGTTCAACGGTAATTCTAAGATACGGTTCAACCCAGTGATCCACATGTCCTCTACAGTTCTGGAAGACAACTTCAATAAGCTTTGGAGCGGGTACAATATCATTGTCCTCCATATTTTTATCCGACATAATCTGCAATATAAATCAGAGACCCCAGTAATAACAGAAAAAATAATAATGACCATTCATCCACCACCAGCCTCCAACCAAATAGTTGATGACTTAAGTAATAATCTAAAAATAACTCACAGATGAAATCATATTCCACAAACTCTGTTGATAGTCCGGTTCTTTGCAAGAAAGGAACTGAGCAGTTCCCCTTGAAATATAATTGTCCAAAGGAACCAAAATATCTGCAGAAGTTTAAAGCTTAACAGATAAAAATACCAAAAGTGGATTATATGGAAGGATGATAAATTTCAAACCAGGTCAAGATAAATTAGAAATATGCTTGTCCTGAAAAAAGAAAGCAGTAAAATTTGAAACCTGCGTTCAATGTAAACAGACCAGAACAGGTATCAAACCCATTACCTGGTCTGTGTATGGAAGTAATAAGGAGAAACTACACATTCAAGATTGGAATTAAAAAATTGCCCTAATAGGTATTTGTTAGTAACTAATTCAACATTTGTCATGACAATGTTGACGCCAATTACTCACAAAAACACCCATTTGGTTAAGGAATCAGAAAACCACTTAACCTAGGAAAGCAAAAAAGGATATGTCCATGGGCATGAAATAATCATCATAATCCAGTTAAGAAAATTTGATTAGAAAATTAATTATTTGAGAAAATAGAAAGGTTGTATTTAGAATAGGAAGATGAAAAGGAATCCTCCACAAGCTCACAAACAAGGGTGAGGGAGAAAAACAACGATATAGCAGGTTGACCAGTATCCTGAATGAAGTTACCCTCAACCATGGCTGAGCGATGGAACTAGTGTCATAAAAATTAGAAAGAATTTTTTTATTAATGAAATAGGGCCATTCACAAGTTATGTAAACTATGCATTAGCACATTAGCTGAGAGAAAAAATAAAGTTAAAAGTTATTGAGAACCATACTTGGAAAGAAATCAATTGCCCAATCAGCCAGGGCTTCAATCATCAATGGCCAAAGACTCCACATATCCAACGATATTGTTGGAGAGAAAAAGGTCATATAAGATACAATCTCCAAAACTTCTTCAAAAACCTCTGTAGACACACACAGAAAATAATGGAAATGAGTAAAAATTCAAGAAAAATTAAAATATACAAACCATGGTTTTCATATTACAGTCTAATAATTAAACAAACAAAAATACAGGTCCAAGAAATTAATGAAACAAATATATACGTGCTTGACCAGTTTTCAACATCACAATCATTTTACTTAAGCTTAAGAATATCGATGAAGTACCAAATTCTTCCAGTGATCAACTACTTAAATACATCTATCTTAAAGTGTTAGGAAACATTATTGGATCGGAAACAAAAATCCTTAAGCCGTGCCCATTTCTTACAGGAAAAAAAAAACCCTTCGACAAGGCATAACAACCAGAATAATTGTACAGTTGGACAACTACCAAAAAAGAAAAAATGGGTTTTTCTTGGGACATATTGTTTTCTTTGTAGTTTGTGTTCAAGGAGGATACCCTCTTCTCCAAAAGTTTTGTAATTCTTTTCTTAATGAAAAGGAGGTGTATATACACAACACAAATACAAAATGACATTGGAGGAAAATGAAGGACAGAGATTGTCCGCAAGAGAGATGCAGCAGGGGGAGAGGTACCTTGACCATCAGTTGTCAACATTCTGCGCATTATGGGAAGCAAGGTTGGCTCGATTTGAACAAAAAGGTGAGGAAGTCTGCTCACTGATTCAAGTATTGTACTAATAGCACGTAAACAACCAACAGCAGCCAAAGCACCTGGATCATCAGCTTCATCATCAGCTTCTGCAGTATTCATACACCTCCAAAATGCAGCAGCCTGTTATTTGAAATAAAGCTAAATTATTATACTACCTCTTGAAATCAAACAAAATTCCTAAACAATATGTGAACGGAAAAGAAATAGTACCAAGTTTTGGCACAACCCAAGTGCATAAGGGGCCATCTCTTCCCCAAACTTGTCCACAATAGTCTCCAATGTGAATACAAGGTCCTCATTCTCAACCTCATTCATAAGTTTGAAAAACTCTGGATAAAATTCAGCTTGGTTAAAACTTATTCAGCAAGTCAAATAATAAATCTGGAGTGAAACAAAATTCTCACACCCTCATACCATCAAGGAGTTGAGGAAGAATAGGACGAATTTCATTCAAATCTGCATCAAAAAGTCAGGACAAAATAAGCATAAACAACATTAATCATACACAATAAATATATTCAATATAATTACAAAAAATACAAAGAGAAGGTAAAAAAACCACCTTTGCAAGCTTCAATAAAAGAACGCAAAGCAAAAACAGAATCAACACGCACAGGAAGTTCAGAATCCTGCATTCTGGATACCACACACTGCAAAGCCCTCCGGAAATTGTTCTGATCTGAAAAGTTAATATGGGCATACTGTCCTGCAACCCATGCTGCCTGTTTTTCAAAGGAAAATTAAATTATAGTCTAGATAACCATTCCATAATCTGAGTAAATTTTAAATTAATTGTCAATTCAAATTAAAAAACTTCTAGATAGGCCTTGTGCATCCATATACAGCACTCAACACTGCATAGATCAGATCTACTGATTACATTAAGCACTAGTTGATATAATTATAAGTATGGATCCTGTTTTTGAAAGTAAATTTTGGAAGGAGATCTTGAAAACTTTGGGGATTGATCAGATATTATCTTGCTCTTATCCCATTTGAAGTTCAAGACCCTTGAGGTTATTGGTCCTTTTTTGGAGGAGGGGTCCTGAATGTAAATATGAATAGAAGAAAACTGTTTAGTTAGTCAGATATAGTTAAATTGGATTTCATAGTTGTAGGGTACCTGCCTATAAATAAAGCTCTGTTTTGTATTTTAGAAGGAGACTGGAACGATACATAAAAAATGCAGCACACAGTTTTTTGACTTATGTTTTTCTCTCTTCCCCCCTCTCGGTTCTGTTCTTCTTCCATGTTTCTCTTTCATCCTTTCTTATAGAAGATCATACCTTAGCCCTAAGGTGGCCAACAGGACTGCTGAACTCGGGAAAGACATGTTGCACTAACATACGCTCAAGTTCAGACTTGTATGGCTCAGTCTGCTTCAATTTATCACAAAGTGCCCCAATGGCAAGAAGAGCACCATCTTTCTGTCTATAGGGCTTGTATTCTGCAGAAGCTTCATCATACCTAATATAGAGCAAATCATAAATATTGCACCCAATTATAAATCATTCATTCTAACAGAAAGCCATTACCTTCTGAAAATTTCAACAATAAATTGAATAAATTTTTGAAGATTTTCTTTCCCCCGTTTCCGAACCAACTCACTCACAAAATCCATGGAAGCAGTTCTAGGACTATACAAATCTTCAATAATGTCTGTAACAAAAGAATTAAAAGACATAAGAAATCCCAGTGCAATTAATTGAAATATTGTTTCCATACACACCAATGCAACTTACCATAGCCTTTCCTTACATATTCATGTGGATCTTCATCCCAAAGCTTTTGATCATTATCATTAAAGCACATAAGGGGGAACACTATTTCAAAAAGAAGGACATCAAGACGTGATTGCAGCAGAGTATACATACTATTCCTTGAGATACTGCATATGATATAAAAATTACAAAGAAAGAATTAGTTTGTGCTCATTCTAGCAATGGCAATTAAATCACTCAACTACTTGTAATCTCTATTCCAATGCCCTAACTTTGCAGACAATAATCTGATTTGACATTCAGGAATGAGAAAGATACATCCACAAAGGACCTATAGCAGAAATATAGGTACAAAGCCTCACCCATGACCGTAGATGCTCTACTTCATTGTCAAGCACCTACTACTCCTTTAGCTTCTTAATGGAAATCTTATAAAGCACATAAGCTTATATATGTGAATGAGCACTCTTAATCCCACCCCAACCACACAGAAAATAAGAAACAAGTACCGACCCTTCCCCAAGTATACTCTCAAGTATAATGGATTAGATCAAATCATCTCAGCATTTTGGCTTAGTTTTGACTAGGGGTTGGTTTTATCATTCAAAAACCATAACCTTACTAGACAATTGTTATCTAGGTTTACAAGAAATTGCAAATTTGTAACTTTATTTGGATTGTATTTTCAATATCATAATATGGGTAGTCTAACACTTTTATAGTACTTAAAATTCTTTTGAAAATCAGACCTTTGAAGTTTACTAGGATCTGTGTTATAAGACTTTTTGAATAAGTTCACTGAAATCCAGAATTTATGATGAGCAGCAATTGTGGAAGAAGTCTTGTGAGTAACATCTAGCTAATGTGCAAACTTACAAACCACACGCTTATAAATGCATATAGACTATCAGTAGATATTGGACAAATAAATAGAATATAATTCAGAACACAGAAATCAGAACAAATACAACACACCTGCTTTACTAGAGACAAAAATCTCCAATGGGGAAGTAACCACAAGCTTCAAATAACAACACCTTCTAATAACACATCACAGCTTCTAACTTCTACCCACAACTGACATAATGAGAAATATTATAACACATCTAATTAGATAACCCCACAACTGTCCAGACCCCCATTGCAGCACACCGTTGTTGTATACTTTGTTGTATGACAAAAAATATTGTTAGATGTTACGGGCATAGGCCCATATCTTTGTATTTTCCTATTTATAAATAGATAACTCTACGTGCTTAATACACTTTAGGGATCCAGCTTATGTCTCTCTTATTTTAACATAGTATCTTGAGCTAGGTTTAATCCTTTCCTTCCCAGTGAACCCATTGTTCACCGTTGCTAAATATTTCTTTTCTCCCATTTCTTTACCTAGTTTTGTCCCCCTGCCACATCTCTACCGTCACAATCGCCATCACCATCATCATATATTGAACCTACAAATCCCCCACCTCCACCATCTCTTTGGGTGTATAGTTGTCGAAAAAATCCTCATTGCTCACCTGATGACTCTCTTCTAGTGTTAACTCCTCCATCTCTAATAATTGAATCTGATCTTCTTATTGCTCTCCTTAAAGGTATATGCTCTACCCGTACTCCCTCACCTCATGATACTACTTTGAGTTATCATAGGTTATATTCATCACATTATATTTGTCTTTCTTCTATTTCTTATGTGTCAATTCCAAAATTTGGAAGTGATGTCTTAGCCCATACTAGTTAGTGTCGTCAGGTCATGCTTGATGAAATAAGTGTTCTTCACTCATTCCTTTACCATATGGGATGTTTGTTGTTGGTTGTAGATGGATTTTTGCCATCAAAGTTGGTCTTGATAACTATTGAACATCTCAAAGCTCGCCTAGTAGCCAAAAGTTATACACAAATTTTGGGTTGGACTATGATAATACTTTTTCTCCAACTGCAAAGATGGCCTTCATCCGCTTATTCATAGCCATGATTACTCTTCAACATTGTCCTCATTATCAACTAGATGTCAAAAATGTTTTTCTTAATGGTGATTTGCAAGAAGAACTATATATGGAGTAACCCCAGGTTTTGTTGCTCAAGGGGAGTCATCTAGATTGGTATGTCATTTCTAAAAATCTTTACATGACCTCAAGCAGTCTCCTAGGGCTTGGTTTTGGCAAATTTAGCACTATTGTTCAACAATTTTGTATGACTCACAATTAGGCAGATCATTCAATATTTTACCATCACTCAAATGTTGGATGTATTTATCTAGTAATATATGTTGATAATATTATACTTACAGACAATGATCACCATGACATCTCATAAGTAAAGCAACACCTTTGTCACCACTTTCACACCAAATTTCTTGGGGATTGAGGTAGCACAATCTAACAATGAAATAGTTATTTCTCAAAGAAAGTATGCATTGGATATTTTAAAAGAAGTTGGGTTAATGAATTCAAAGTCTGCTGACATACCATGAATTCCAATGCCAAACTCTTACCTAATCAAGGGGAGTCACTCTCAGATCTCGAGAAGTATAGAAGATTAATTGAAAAATCGAACTATCTTACCGTTACTCGCCATGATATTTCTTTGCAATATGAGTCAATTTTTTAATTCTCCATGTGCAGACCATTAGAATGTTATCATTCATATATTGAAGTATATTAAAGGTTCTCTTGGAAAAATTTGGTATATATGGACACAATAATCACACACAGTTGTATATTATTTAAATGTTGATTAAGCATGTTCTCCATCTAATAGGAGATCCACTGCCAAATATGGTGTCTTTGTTGGTGACAATTTGATCTCTTGGAAAAGTAAGAATCAAAATATTGTAGCAAAATCTATTGCAGAAGCAAATCATAAAGATATGACCCTCAGCTACTTGTGAACTTTTTAAGCTTAAACAATTACTTGAAGAATTGTAATTTGGAGAGGTCACTCAAATGACACTTATATGACAATCAAGTCACTCTTATATTAGCTCAAATCTCGTCTTTCATGAAAGGACCAAACATATTGCAATTGATTGTCATTTTATTCGAGAAAAACTTGTATTTGGAGAAATCAAGACTAGATTTGTTAATTCTAATGACCAACTAACATATGTGTTTACAAAATCATTAGGGACCTCGAATTAATTATATTGATAACAAGCTTGGCATTTACAATTTATATGCACCAATTTGAGTTGAAGTGTTAGATGTAATGGGCTTAGGCCCATATTGTTGCATTTTCCTATTTATATATGTTGAAAGTCCCACATCGCCTACCTCATATCATTTGGTATGGTTTAAATACATGTTAGGCTACTCCACATATTGCCAATTGGTTTTATGTTGGAACCTTAACATGGTATCAGAGCCAAAGCCTAACATCTTTCCGGTTATTGTCATGGGCCAAAAGTTGCCCTTTAGTTGGGTCAAAAGTACTCTTTGCCTGGTCCGGCAGGCTTCGTTGGAGGGGGTGTGTTGAAAGTCTCACATCGCCTACCTCATATCATTTGGTATGGTTTAAATACATGTTAGGCTACTCCACATATTGCCAATTGGTTTTATGTTGGAACCTTAACAATATATAGATAATCCTATGTGCTTAATACACATTAGGAATTCAGTTTATGCCTCTCTTATTTTAAGAAAGACAATAGGCAATGCCTACATGTATGAGTATTATACTACTCAGTTAATTATAAGTTGATAATCGGTTTGAGTATTGTTTGTTTTTCTATTATGCACTAGTTAGTTAGTTTTGTACAACTGTTACAATTAGTTCAACTCTATATAAAAAGCATGGTGTACTCTATTGCAAGAACCTCATATACAACAATTCTTGTTTAAATTTTTCTTTCTTTCCCTTTCTTTATCTTCTTTCACTATATCAATTCAACATGGTATCCAAAGCTCGAACAATAAAACCAGAGCAATCTTCCTCCTCCTTCCCCATTCTTCACTAATTTCGTCAAAATATGTAAGAAGCTATATGCTTTCAATTTCTCACTATGGCAACAAGTTGAGCCTGTGTATTAAATCACATCATTTTCACCATTTTGTAGTTAGTCCATCAATTCCTCTTTGATTTCATATTGATACTAATCACAATGTTGGAAAAATCAATCCCATGTATAGTACTTGGGAACAACAAGGTCAAATGTTGTTGACATGGCTCAAATCAACACTATCACACTCTTTCTTGAGTCTTAGGAAGCATTCATTCTTATAGAGCATGGGATAAAGTTTTTGATTATTTTCGTCTAACAAATGTGTTCTCGAGAATGACAACTTCACATTGAACTTCAATCCACAATATGTGAAGATTGTCCAAAAGCAAAGTTTGTTATTCATGTTAAAGCATTAGTTGATTGTCTAACTTTTTTGTTGAAGATCTTGTTTCTCTACAAGAAAACACTATTATTCTTGAAGGATTGCCTATACACTTGAATTTCATCATTTTCTTCATTGAAAGTAACCTTCATCATCTCAAGGACTTTGGTCATCTCAAGGACTTTGGTCGTGGGCATGGAGACCACTTTGCCAATATTCAATGTCAAGTGTGTCTTAAATATGGACATGTTGCTTCTTTTCGTTAACCTCCTATTCAAGGCAATCTTTATTCAAGTTTTAGAGGTGCTTCAAACCAGAATCATCAAGGAAGACACCATAATGGTTTTTATATTACATCTCCGAACCAGGCCATTACATTCAACCATCCACCAATCCAATTATAAACTAACCCAATCAACTTAAATAGAAAATTAGCTTACCAAAAAGATGTGTGGTGTTAATCAGAATTAATAGCATGCAGTTAACAAAAGGAGACTGCATAGTATACCCACCTGTTGCTTAGATATTGAAGAATCAGGTTGATAACCCTGTCAGGTAAATAGCCCCCTACTCTAACAACATTTAACAGATTTAAGTGGCACTCTAAGATTTTCCCAGCGTAATGCTTCTGAAACATTTGAGCAAAGGCTCTGTTTTCAGGGTTTTGCAGCTTCAAGTCTCCAAAACTGTTATGAGGTAATTTAAACAATCATAGAAATTCAGTATTAGACACGCAACAAATTCTTATAATTATTAAATCAATCCACACCTCAACATACCGAGTGTAAAGCCTATTTAGAATGTGAACTGTCCATTTCTTCACCTTCCACCAACCCCATGATTTTCTAAGATCAGGATCAACAGGCTGACCTTCAGAGGGGACAGGTCTCTCCAATATATTTAAAAAAAGCATCATCCAAGCATTGAAGATATTTTGATCAAACAACAGCTTAGGAATCTCCAACTGAATAAATTCAACAAAATCCAGAATTGCACACGTCAATTATGTGAATTTGAGTGGAGAGAAGCATCAAAATAAATGAGGTGGCCAACAAAGTAATCTCAATTGTAGATGTCCTTTCTTTCATTTTATCCCCAATAACAAGGTCAACCAAAAACAAAAGAAGCCAAGATTTATTCTAATACAAACACATAAAGACTTCTAGACTAGAATTCACAAGGACTGTAGTGCTGACTACTTTTTGTGCTGCTAACTTTAGATCACATTAATTCCATCTAGCATCTGAAGTGTGAGGAAATATACACTAAACTACAATGTGAAAAGCAAGTACTTAAGATATATCAATGCCACAATAACATTTTAGTCTCTGCTTACTGAAATTTAATATGACAAAAAGGGCAATATAAACCTAATGGCAAGGGATGATAAGATAGTAAAATCCATGGTTGTCAAACTTGTTATTTAACTGGTAAACTCGTATTTCAGAGGTGAAATCAAGTCAACTCACACAGAAACTCAAGATTATTCAATTTGGTCATTTATGTATTATTTTAATGTATACTATCAAATTTTGTTCCCATCGGAATAGTAGGCCTTCAATAATGAAGGTCTATGTGAGAAGAAATATGGTGGGCAATAGAGCATCGTATTACCCCAATGTAACAGAAGGGTATCATGCCTTTTTTAAATAGAAAGGCATTACATCAATTTTAATTCAGATTTTATTAACTGCAGCTAGATGATTAGTAAAGTGAAACAGGAGAACTTGTAAAAGGGTAAGAGAACAAAGAGAAAGGTATGATGTATTTAAAAATTCAATGGAGAGAAGAGCCCCAGGACTCTTGGATCACCAGAGAATTCATTCCATTCTTCTGTTAGTTCATTCCCTTCCCTATTCAAGACTTTGATAACAGTAGGGGATTAAGGTTTTCTCTATCAATACAAAATTCAGCTAGTGTTGCTTCTGATCCAGTTTCATTATATGGTTTGCTTAATTATGAAGCTAAGAATGCTGAATACTATTATGTAAGATGTTATATTTTGTTTGGATACTAGTGTTGGAAATCCGCCTTAATTGTGGTCACCCAGCCACCTTGGTTAAGGCCTCTTTAGAGGCTGGCTTAATTGCAACCAAGGGTAGTGTTTGGTCCTTCATTGACTAGAAGTATGACTAAAATAGAAACTTATAAAGCTTGAGAAATTGTCACCTTGTAGGTCAATTTCATGAAGTTGAATAAGGCCCAAATTCTAATATGGCTTTAGAGCCTATTCTAAAATCATTGTTGAGCCGCCAGCACTTGCCACACTCCAACATTCCAGTAACCTTAGCCATGAGGGATGTTGTTGGAAAGTCACCTTAATTGCAGTCAACCCTAACCTGCCATAGTTTAGAACTCTCAGGGGGTTGCCTTAAGTGTGGTGTTTAATTATATATCAACTATAGATTTGGCTTAAATAGAGCTTATGTCGACAAATCTCACATTATAAGCCAATTTTGTAAAATTGGAATAAACTCAAATTCTAGGACTGAGTAGGCTTCTCTAAAATACTATTTTTGTTTTAGGTAAACTCTTGTGAATCATGTCCAATACAATCCAAAGTTTACATAGAGAGGTATTAGAAAAGAGTTATGTTCAACATTATGCACTCTAACTTCAATGACACAAGGGAGTTGCTTCTCCTTTCACTACTTTGGAATGTGCAAACTTCTGTCCGAAGACTTTCAAACATTAATCCAAACACACTCAATTTTGACAACCTTGGGCTAAAAAGAATTCATTGTACACTAAAAACCTCAGGTTTACAGATTTACTACCAATAAATGTAACATGAAATCTGAACAAGGTTTGATCTACAGCATAATGCATAAAATAAATTCCTTAATTAAAGAATACATGAGAGAATGCGTACATATATAGAGGACCAGAATATTTTACAGATAAGCTTGATTAGATCTGCTACTTCAAGTGATGGGTTAACAATCTGGACAAGCCCGTTAAATATGTTGAGAAGATGAGGAAATGTCTCATCAACAATGCGATAAACTGGCACCCTTTCCTCATCTGACTTGAACCTGATACGAGAAATAAAAATAGTTTATGAACCTAACACATGCAAGACAAATCAATCTAGACCACTATTGAAATTTCACAGGATACTTTTGAAAATTTGAGCTCTTGAAATTGAAACATTTTTTTGTATTGGTACATAATATCTATTGGCTTTGTCGAAGACTAATCTCCAATGTAAAAACCTGGCTAGTTGTCTTCAGTGGAGTCTCCCCTCCCAACAGGGTTTTTTGAAATGGAAAAATTGAATCTTATTAATTGACATAGCAAAATAATCATACAGACCAATATGCATGGGATGAGATTTGTACCTTCCATTTGAAATATAGTAAACTCTATTCTTTTTATTTCCCTTTCCAGACGTTTTGAAACATCTCAAATTTTTGCTTACATCTTAATCCTTCATTCATTTTCTTCAACACCTCAAAATGAACTTGAAATTAACACTCAAAAAATAACTATTGTTAATTATTCTTCAATGTCTTTTCTTCTTGTACTAGAAAAGAGGAAGATTTTTTTGGGTGACATGCAAAAATAGTTCACAGTTTATTCTTACATTTTATGTTTTGTTTTTTACCCTTTTTGTGACATCTTTGATTTTTAAGAGTTACTCATTCTCTTATGCTTGCAACTTTCTCCACATTCTTAATAATTTCTTTTTTCTATCAATACAACAGATTCATATTCATATGTAATGACATTGTAATTGTACAATGAAAAAAAATGAAAACCAAACAGGAACTTCCATATTAGGGAAATACAAGTCAATGATAATGGACAAAATTAACCACAAGAGAGAAAATATCGCCAAGAGAAATGGGTAAGAACATCAGCTCAATTTTTTAAGTTAAAATATCGTAGATATGAAGTCACAAGCTTACTCATATTTTCTAGAAAGAATCCGCAGCACAAACAATGCACCATAGACTTGTTGATCCTGTAAGTTATGCTTCACCCAGTCAAGAAGATGTGACCACTGCTCGGGATAATCAGAATGTATAATTGTTTTAAGGCATTCACCAAGCTGTACCCTGTACACATAACATGTGAGAGGGGTACACAAGTCAAATGCAGGAAAATTGAGAAAAAACAATATTATTCAAAAGAAAAAGAAGTATTCCACAAGTTAAACCTCATTAATTGTGATCACCCATTAGGGTAAACACAGACAGCAAGAAACCAACACATCAAAATATACAAATGAGCCATCAGACATGAAGCAGCCAAAGGTGAACAGTTGTACCTCAACAGAGGAGGAACTTGGGTTACAAACACGAGAATGTGATCCCTCACCACGTCTTTATCACTCGGTAAAATCTTCGGTTGCGTATCTACATAAACAACCCACAAAAATGAAGAGTAAGATCAGCAACCATCCCAATTCATTATCTAACTTGAACCTGTGATAAAAAGAGCATACCATCAAGTGGAGACCAATTTTTCGCAATAAAGTTCTTGAAATGAATACTAGCCACTTGTCGTACACCCATGTCAACGTTGTTGTCAACAATGATTTGCAACAGCCTCACCAGATGCTGAGGCGCATACTGAAACTGTATCCAAATTCAAAAGAAAATATATTAAAAGTTAAAAGAAGTCATCAAACTAAAACATTAATACATTCAATTACACCCATAAACGGGGGAGGCCCATACCAATACACAACAAAGTCTGATGTGTTTTTACTTTATTTTCAAGTGTCTTAGCTTCATAAACACTAAATAACTCATGATTCAAAAAGCTCATCAATAAACATACAACCAAATTTAAATTCACCAAATTAAAACACCGGTAGATTCAAATATCAATCATACACCAAAATTCAATTAACAACTATTAGAAATGACCACGAAAGTCACTAAAAATCATCAAGCATCCGTACTTCGTAAACATTCAACCGGAAGTGAATAAAGTGGACACAAAGCAAGAGGCAATTAAAATTCTGATCAGAAGGGAAATTCGAGAATCGTAAGGAGTGGCACCTGATTCAAGCTCTGCTCAGCAGCTTTCCGTTCATCCGGATTGGGACTGAGAGCGGCTTGGAGTATAACAGCAAGACTTGGAAGATCCATTGAACCGAAAATTCGATAAAAAAAACTCCGATACGAACTCCGATCAGCACGCAAACCGATAATTGCGAAAGCAATGAGAAGTCCAAATCTAAACCCTAGAAAGAGCGTGGTCTAGGGTTTAGAGCGCGAGCAATAGCAACAACAATCGAACAGAGAGCAAGTGGTTTGCGATTTGGGTTATGCTGTTGAGTTGTGTTGAGAAAGAAAGCAGTGGAAGATGTTGGAGGCTATTTAAAGCACTAGGGTTTACGTTTACGGGTTTTTAATTTTAACCATCTTGATACTACTACCTAGTACTTTTAATTGCGTTGAGAAAAAAATAAATAAATAAACAATAAATATGAAGTGTGATTGTCTAGTTGGAGACTTAGCGGCTTGTTTGGGTGCGAAGATACGTTAGAGGCGTACGGGATAGGTTAAACCCCGTGACGTGTTTTAAATCGTTAAGGAGTAATTTCTTAATTCCGTTTGCGTTTTTGGTGTTTGGTGAGTACATTTGTAGCGGTTGGAGGCTCTTGCACGCTTCTCCACTCTCATCCACGAAGCTGCCGCTTTGATGGGTTGGCTGCCAACTCCACCTAATTAGAGAACTCCATACTAATGCCTTCATTTTTTTTTCCTTTTTAATATTTCCAACCCTATTTTGCCTCACGTACCAAAAAATTAATAAACAATGATATTATCTTTTTTTTAAATATGAGAGTGAAAATTATAGGGTTGATCACAAAGTGAAATTTGTTTTACGAATATGTTAGTATATAGAAGTTTTCGAAAGTAAGGATAAAATAATAATATGACACCGATAGAGGTAAAACTAATCACAGTCTATTTGATGTAATACAAATAATTGAACCGGAAGAAGGAAAAACATTGTAATGGTAATAAAATCTTATTTACGTAGAAAATAATGATAAAAAAATAAAAATAAAAACCAGCACTAACACTGAAAATGGTACTCAAAGTCTAGTGTATAGAAAACACAACATTTTACAATCTCTACAATCATATATAATCAATAAAAAAATCTCAACAAACCATACACAAATCTTAACAAATTTGATATTATTTAACAAATATTAACTACTTTTGTATTGTTTTTGTAATAAACTAATCTCATTTTATTTGAAGATATCATCCTATAATACTTCATTTATTTGGCATTCCACTTTAATGAATTTTTATATATCAATTTTAACAAAGGATAATTTAAAACATTTTGTAAATTTTATTAATAACATGAACTAGTTTTTTAAAACAGTATATTAACTAGTTAATTTGTCTTACCTTTGATTTAAGAAAATAACTATTGTAAGTTATTGGTATTCCTACAAACAAATTTTCAGTTATAATTTGGGGAGTGATAGAAAAAATAAACGTAATTGAAAGAGAAGACAAAGATGAGTAAATCTCCCTATATGTTAGTCACCAACAACATGTTCATAAAAAAAAAAATTAAACATCATCATTCAAGCCAAACAAATTTTGAATTAGTTATAAAATACCTTGAAATTGGCAGAAAGTATAATATATATTTTTCAAATTAACTTATATCAAAAATAACTTCTACTCATACAAAAATATTTATTTATAAGTGCTGAAATAATTGTTTACGAACACATGTTTATAATCTACATAAATGCAGAAGAATTTCCGGCTATTTGTTTATTTTCTTCAGAAAACAACAACTCTTATATACTGTAATTATAACTTATTTTACTTTATCATGCCTAACAATCTAGGATGAAGCTGAAAATATTGTAATAGGAGATTTTGATTTGCTTAAACGATATTTTTATTGAGATTTTTGTAGTAAAAGTATTGACTTAAAACCCGTGTAACTCTTTATTTTAAAATTAAAATATCGTATCTCTTAATTTTAATTAAAGCTTGATTTCTTACCACACCAATAACAGATGACACACACAGAGAGTACTAGACTAGAACATGTTTTTTGAAAGCATTATTAGATAAATATTAAGAACCCACTTTTGAACACATTTATTAAAATCATTAATCCAATTTGGCCTCAACCTGCGTACACAGAACAAAAGGATGGCGAAGTAGAGCGCCTTGTTAATTGTGTCTGGTTTGGAGATATAATGTGGCAGTGGTTATATTGACAAAAGATAATAGACTCCTTTTCTTTCTTCTCTCACTTTCACTTGAGCAAAACACTCGCACGCGAGAGTGAGGAGTGAGTGTGTTTCCACACGGCGGGAAACAGAATTATTTGGCGAATAACCCTCTCCCTCCAAATCAAACACAACACAACACTTTCTAATTCTCTCTCTCTTTTCTCTTTCTCTCGGGAAAACCCTAACTAACGTGGTTCTGTCGGTTTTGCTACCCTCGCACATGGCAGCGGCGTTCCAGGAGAGTGGAGGTGGAGATGAGGATGCGACCATCGACGTGCACACCACGCGTGGCACTCCCATCCGCTACCTCCCGCTCGATCACCTCTACTCCGCCACGTCGCCCTGCCGCGTCACCGCCAGCGGCTCCTCCAACGTCATGTCCAAGAAGGTCAAGGCTCGCAAACTCACCACGCTTGCGGCGCATCACCATTTCAACAACCACGACCACAAGAAAACGACGTCGTCCTCTTCGTCCTCCTCGCAGCCTCTTCCTTCGAAGCCCCCTCTTCTCTTCGTCTACTCGCGCCGGCGCAAGAGGCATTCCCCTTCCACGGCGCCGTTTTACGATTCGCTGTGTAAAACCGAGGGCAGGGTGAACGAGGAAGAGAATGAGAACGAAAAGAGGCTGCTGAAGAAGAGGAAAATTGGGAGTACCGAGTTGGAGAGGCTGGGCGTTGATTTGAACACTGCGATTGGGGATGTTGACGGACCTCGATTGAGGGAATGCCGAAACCAATTTGGGAATTCTGGTGCTGCTTTGAATATTAAGTGTGGTTCCTTGGAGAATATGCCAAAAATGTCGCCTGATTCTCGCCCTGTGAAGAAATGGGTCGGGTAATTCTCTTTTTCTCACTGTGTTTGGTGCATTGCGAGAAAATGTTGCTCTTGGGAACATTGGGGATTCGTGGGTCTGCTATGGAGTTTTATGGGTTTTGAGTAGAAATAAAAGTATCGCCGTTTGGGCTTTAGAAATACAACCTCGGTGGATTTGAGCTTTGCTTGAATTCCAGCTTCGTGTTTTGTGGTTGGGAGAGGGAAGTTTTAATTGAGATTAAATGTTCTTCGTGGGTCCGTTTTCGAATTTTGTGAGTTGAGAAAGTATTGCTGGTTTAGAATTTGGTTCAAATAGATGTTCCGTGAATTTGAGCCTTTACTTGAATTTAAGCTTCGTGTTTTGAGGTGAAATCTTATTTGTTAGATCTTACTTGCGAAAAACGGACATTCCGTTTTTTGCTTTTATTTAAGTGTTTATTATTTGTTTTCAAATGCAGTGTTTGTTTGGACTGAAGGAATTAGATTTTCATAAGGTTGTGATTTGGTTGATGTGTAGTGGGGAAGGAGAATGTTTAGTTCTGTGGATAGGATGTGAGGTTTTGGTTTTTTGGGTTTGTGATTTCTGTACGGTATGAGGACGCCTTACATGATTGTTAATTGCACATGCTGCAGGTTGAGTTTTGATAATGCTGATCCTGAGGTGTTTGTTGGATTACGATGCAAGGTTATGTTTTGTAACTTTTGCGTTGCATAATTATTCCACTGAGTTTGTTCATGCAATTACAATTTTTCAGTGTTGAACCTTGTTTTCTGCAGGTTTATTGGCCCATGGATTTAAAAGCGTACACTGGTTATGTCAGAAGTTATGACAAGGAAACTAAGATACATCATGTATAACCCTTAATTATCTAAATTATTACTTGAATGATATGAATAGCTTTGAGCTAAAATTTGGTGCATCTTCAATCTATGTTTTTGACAATATTGGACTTGTTGGAAATTTCATCCTTTCACTAATAATTGCAGGTCAAGTATGATGATGGTGATGAGGAAAATTTAATTCTTTCAAATGAAAATATAAGATTCCATGTTTCCCGCGACGAGGTGAAACATTTAAAATTGAATTTTGCCAAAGTTCGTGACAATAATGTCTCTGATTATGATGTTGAAGAGATGCTTGCAATGGCTGCAAGTTTGGATGATTGTCAAGACTTTGAGCCTGGGGATATCATATGGGCCAAGTTAACAGGTTTATGCTCAGTCTTGTTTTGTTCCATTTGCAATGGTTTTATGTGGAAACCTTTATTTGAACTCTTGTCCTATTTTTAAGAATATTAGTGCACCACTTCTTTAAATAACTTCTATTATTATTATTTCTGCTGCATTGATTTCATATGCATGCTTTTAAATTTAATATGGTAAGTTATTAATTGATATCTGGTATGATACTGAAGTAGACTGGTATTCAGCATCCCATTGCTCTCAAATTTAAGCAGTAAAGTTGAACTAAAATGGTAAATTGTTAACTTATATCTGGTATATACTGAAGGTGGCCGGTATGCAGTCTATCCTCCATAGTGTTAAAATAAAACTCTTACAACACAGAAGAAATTATAAATTTTAATCTTACAAATGTTTTACCTACTAATAAACACTATTTTCAGGAGATCTGACGAGGTCTTCTTCAATTTACCTTATTTCTTTATTGTTTGCATTCCAGTTCCTATTAGATCTTGTTAATTTTGTCACATCTATAATGCTTGTGTCTTTTTATTATTTTGCAGGCCATGCAATGTGGCCAGCTGTTGTTTTAGATGAATCACTTGCTAGCAACTGTAAGGGTTTAAAGATGATGATGGGAGGAAGATCAGTTCCTGTCCAGTTTTTCGGCACCCATGACTTTGCAAGGTTTGATATTCTGTTAAATTTTAAAAATAAAAATAAATCTGTTTTCAACGTTTAGTGGGAGATTTTTTCCATTATACTGTTTGATTCTTTCCTCCTTTTAAGATCTACATCTCTGTTGTATATTGTTTTCTAGGGTTAGAGTGCAACAGGTGAAATCATTTCTCAGTGGACTTCTTACTGATCTACACTCAAAATGCAAGAAACATAGTTTTATTGAAGGTTTAGAAGAGGCAAAAAGGTAATATTAATCTTGCCTTTTCTTTTTCTCCTTTTCTTTTATCATATTTGTTATATAGTATATCAAAAGTTTTGAACCTTAAAATTTTTCTATTCCCTTTTTATTAGACAAAATTAGTGCTAATTTGCACGTATGCTGTTTCAGCATCTTATTATTTATATAATGTGCTTGAGTGTCTACTAGAAAAGATTGCATTGTGGAATATGAAGAATGTATATTAAACTGAGGAAGCGAGTTTGATAAACTTCTCTTCCTCTCTAATCACCTTACACTGGCTTTATTTCTTAACTTGTCTAATATTTAAATAGTTTGACTGATGACTTGACATTTTCAGTTATTTTACCTGTCATCTTAGATTCATCCAAGGTCACTATATCTTATGTGTGTGCTTTAGTTGCTGAAGGTAATTCTTAAGGAATTGTGCTCAAACATAATCTGCTAATATAAATTAAGGAGATAATCTCTGTAATGTAGTATTTTCAAATCTGTCCATGCGTTGATACTCCAAGTTGAATTTTCTTCAAATGGTTGCTCAGGTTTGTTGTTTTTTCAATTATTTTGCTCAAACAGATATTTAAGTGAGCAGAAGCTTCCTCTGGAGATGCTAGAGTTGCAAAAAAGGTGTGCAGCTGATAACTGTAACAATGTAAGTGGAGAGGATGGAGGATGTACAGATTCAGGCGATGATTGTGTAAATGGTGAGAGAAATTTAATGGCTCTGGAAAGCGTTGAAACTTTTCCTTATGAAGTGGGAGGCCTCCAAATTCTAAGCCTTGGTAATTTTTCTTGATTACCTTACCATCATTTATAGCTTCCCGAGAATTTTTTTATGTTCAATTTTTTTACCTGATTGAATCTTGAAACGTAGTTATGTTTACTAATTTGTCTTGCACATATCAAAAGAGGCAACATCTCAAGGATACAGTGATTCTTGTCATTATCTTTTTGCATGTAAAAAATAACTAGTTGCTTGAAACAGCCATGATCTGAATGCAAATAAAAATAAATAAAATCCTATATTCTCATTCCATATTATGTTTTGGGGCAAGAGACACACTTAGATGCAAGCATTATGTCATATCAAATACACTTGCACACAAAACACTGCACTGAACAACAAAAACCAGCCTTATAGTATGGCAAAACATGCAGAGGTTCCTCTGCAACAAGCCTCTAACACAATTACGAGGAGGCTCATAAATCTGTTGCATAGCTTTTTATGTTATAGAAGGTTAAGTACTAGCCTTCAAACAAAAGGCTGGACCTCTGAGGACCCTTTTGTACCTGGATATAATTTTGATTCATTGATATGAATTGAGACAATTTTAATCTAGCAACAAACCATGTGATGCCATGTATTTAAAATCTGTTAATTTGTTTTTGATAGTGAGATGTTTTAGCTACTCTCCAATGTTGTAGCATGTTCTTGCTTACTGACAGTGTCCAGAGTTTTACACTGACATTGGATCACATTTAAATTCTTTAATGTTGTTATATTCAAGAGTGAAAAAAAGTGTACTGTCTTAAAAAAAATTGACTTTGTTCTCTCATAAATGCAATGGCTGAAAGATAGTCTCTCGATCTACTGTATGCATATTTTTTAATTTTATATTGGCAAAGAGGGTGAGTTCTCTCTCGTGCACTGCCCTTTTTTGGTGTTACTTCTAGAGTATTTACATTTTGGCTGTTGCCAAATGGCCAAAGCAATCAAAGAGATGTTAACAACTTATTTTTTATTCAGGAAAAATAGTTAAAGATTCTGCATTCAGGGATGGAAGGTTCATCTGGCCTGAAGGGTACACTGCAGTGAGGAAGTTTACTTCAGTTACTGGTGAAACATTTATTATTATTGTTCTTGTTTGGGTTGTTCACATGTCATTATTTTGGTTGGCTTTTAAATGTTAAGTCAAGCATGTTATATTCTTCATTTTCAATATCTTATCTTTTGTAGTCCTGATTTTCTAGTTTTTTTTGCCTTCTATGTTCTGCTTTTTGTTGTTTAGACCCAAAAGTTTTTGCTCCTTACAAGATGGAGGTGTTGAGAGATCCAGAATCCAAAGTTCGTCCTCTATTTAGAGTGACAGTTGATGGGGGAGAGCAGGTTGGTTTTTACTAAAAGAGTTAGTGTTTTTGCTTCATAAGAAATGATGTTGTATCCGTAGACATTTGTTTCTCTGATAATTTGATTTTGAATTATGCAATTTTTATAATTCTATATCTATTTTTTGGGGTATATATCCCCTGTAAATATATTTTTTCACCTTCTTTGCCATATGCCAGTCTGTTTCCTTTGTAAAATTATTTTATAGTCTTCTTCTAATGACATAAGTTAAGATCCATGGTGGGCATAATATTTGACTTTTTAAAAGCAAGATTTAGTTGAATTACTACACAAACTTAACTACTTTTTGACTTGGGTTTCCACTTGTCTTGCAAAAGATAGTAAGATGCTAGAAGATAATATCTATTACCAATGGCTTGTATTAATCATGTTATGAATGTTTGGTGCAGTTCAATGGTAATACTCCATCTGCTTGTTGGAGTGAGGTATATGAAAGGATAAAGAAAATGGAAAAGGATGCTTCTGAAGGTACTCTTGCTGAAGGTGGGCTAGGAAAGGGCTACGAATCTGGCTCTGATATGTTTGGTTTCTCCAATCCTAAAGTGCTTAAACTTATACAGGTATGTTATTTGATTATAAGTTAGTTATTATTTTGATGTGGAACATTAAGTCAAGAATTTGGAAACTAATGGATTTAACCTAAAAATGTTGTAATTTATACCAAGTAAGACATAGTCAGCTGAAGAGCGTTTGGTCTTTGATACAGCTGAATGGTGTCTATCCATTCATGTAGTTCATGACATCCAGTGGGATAGGTCTTGATTGTTGTCGTACCAAGTTGACATTTTTGCAGGAATTGCCAATCTATTTATGTGCTTTCCGTCTCTCTACTATTCTGTATTTTATTTTTTGCTGCATATGATCATTTCTTAGCTTCATCTCTCTCTCATTATGCTATATTCGCGTTTTTGAGCCACAGAAATGTTTTTGCTACAATACATGTACTTTCATGTTGTATACCTGATGCTGTTTTATTTTTTTTTTTTAATCCTTTTTTTACTGACAGAATTATTGTTATTTTCAGGGTTTGTCTAAATCCAAAATCTCTTCAAAGAACTCATTTTGCAAGTTAGGTTCCAGAAGACATAATAACTTGCCTCTTGGTTATAGACAAGTTCATATTAACTGGTTTGACCTTGATAAGTGCAACGTATGCCACATGGATGAGGTAGAGTTTTGTTTTCCTCTTCAATTATTTCTCCTCTCTCCTGTGGTTAAATTCATTCTAAGGAAATAGAAATGTTAGTACCTATTTTGGTTGTTTGCCTCATTTTGCTTGCTAAATGGGAGTTATTTATGTTGTAGGAGTATGAGAACAATCTGTTTCTGCAGTGCGACAAATGCAGAATGATGGTATGGCTTCTATAAATATTTTATTCAATGCCCTATAATATGATGCCCCTTAATGTATCACTAAAGCTTTACTTCGTCCATTTGTTAATTTTGAGCTGTAAATTCTAATGTTCATTTAGGTCCATGCTAGATGTTATGGAGAACTGGAACCCATTAATGGGGTTCTATGGTTATGCAACTTATGTCGTTCAGGCGCTCCTCCTCCACCTTGCTGCTTATGTCCACTCATAGGTATGCTGAAATCTGTTAATATATGCTGAGTTAAAATTAGAACTATATGTATTTGAGTATTTAATTGATTTTGTTCTAGGTGGTGCAATGAAGCCTACTACAGATGGCCGGTGGGCTCATTTGGCTTGTGCCATGTGGATACCTGGTTTGTTTGTGTATGACTTTATTTACTCCTTTTTACTCCTTATTTTGGATATGTTTACTAACTGTTAACATTTTTGCCAGAAACTTGCTTAGCTGATGTAAAGAAAATGGAGCCTATTGATGGTTTGAGTAGAATCAGTAAGGTAGGTTTTCATTGCTAATTACTCTATTTTCTTTTGTTTAGCTTTTTGTCTTGAAGTGTGTTTGGCTATCAACATCGTTGTTGATTTTTCTATTTTACCACATTGCTTTTGCTAATGATTTCTTCATGAGTTCTAAATCACTACAAACTCCATTTCAATTTGCTTTCCTTTTAATGCTGTATATGAACAGGACCGCTGGAAGTTGCTATGCAGCATATGTGGTGTATCTTATGGTGCCTGCATCCAAGTAAGTTGTCTGAGTTTTAAATTAAAGAGTAGTTTAAGCTAGCATTTTATTGGTCAATAGGCAGGATATTTTTGATTCCTAAGCCACATCAAATGTTCAATTAACAACCATATATCTGAAGTGACAATAAAAACTTGTATGAATGTCACTGTCATTTTTTTATTTGTGTGGGGAGCATAATATGTTCGAGCTTGAGAGTAGCTACTACCAATATATAAAAATGGCAAGAATACACTTAGTAAAACTATTTTTGAACATCCATGTTGATTATAGGGGTCAGTATTAGCTTGACATACTCTCACTTGATGTACATGCATGTATAACACAATACTTTTGGCTTCTTAACTAGTATTTGTTACATTATGAGATTTCATTTTTGTTTTTCAAATTTTAATTGCATTTTTTCTAATGTTAATTCTGCAGTGTTCAAATAATTCTTGTCGAGTAGCGTATCATCCACTCTGTGCACGTGCTGCCGGTCTGTGTGTTGAGGTATCCCCCCTTCCTGTGTACAATTACTGTCCAAAAATATATTTCATTGCCCATTTATTTATTTTTATAATTTTATTTATAGCTTGAAAATGAGGACAGGCTCTATCTACTTTCTGTTGATGATGATGAAGATCAGTGTATACGCTTACTTTCTTTCTGCAAGAAACATAGGCAGCCATCTAATGAACATTCTGTTGCTGATGACCGTATAGCTCGAGTTGCTGGTCTATGTTCAGAATATGAACCACCACCCAATCCGTCTGGTTGTGCACGAAGTGGTATGATGTTGGACACTTGTTTTACTAAAATAGATTGACTCTTTAATATTGTTTGCTATCTTAACTTCCAGCAAACCAAGAAAAAAATAGGAATTATATTTGGTGATCTTTAATTAATTAATACTTGTTCTTATTCAATCTGTGGCTCAGTTCCACTTATTCCCAATTGTATATAAACGAATTAATTTGCACCACATAGTTTGATTCATACTGGACTAATGACAGGCATACTCAAATCACATTGCTTCAAAATTGGTTTTCTTTTGATTTTATTGGGTCTACAATTGACTTTTAATTAAACATTGTTTTTGGTACCATCTGGAAAGGGAAATAGTAGTGTGCTAGGGCAGGGTGGCAGAGTAGGTGAGCTGATGTTAAAAAATGTCCTATGGGCAGTGATTTTTTTTAAAATCAATTCCAAGCCACCCATTTATTGTATCTGGCAAAATCAAGCCAATGAATTCAGGCAATCTCTCAAAATCAATCATTTCTCAATTGATAGAATGGGTTATTTTGCCCTGGTACAAATAATACTCTTGCATGTCTTTCTCATGGTCTTAGTTTTCCAGCTTGTTATACTTTGTTTTGGGTTGATTTAGGTGCAAGTTATATCATTTGGTTAAAAGTATTTTTTGCATTAATTCTTCCGAGTCTAAGCTAGAGGCCAGGAAGATACATATTTAGGATTAAAGTATGTGTATTGTTCTAGTGCACCAAAATAATTTCACTTTGCAGAAGAATTGAGATTATGAATAACTTTGTAAATACCCTTTTCCTTTAATCTCCCGAGACATTTTTTATGGACAAAATTGTGAGGTTTAGATTAATGCAAAGTGGATAATATCTTAAATACAATGATCCTAATTATGTTAGGGGATTAGAGGTCAAAACATTGGCCCTAAGAGAAGGGCCTAATCCACACATTAGGGCTAAAAGACCCTTTGACCAACCCCAACCCCTAAGAGAAGGACCTATGCTGGATGAGTCACCTTTTCCACTTGATGAGTTTTAAACCTTTTTTTTATCATGGGAAAGATTTTGCTGGATGTTCTCATCTTTGCATTTTAGCTCTGTTATTGGTCAAATGATTGGAACTTCCTGTTCTGGCTATCTGGTCCTCCCTCTTACAGTTTTTATACTTTATTCAACTTATATTTTAAAGATAAATATATTAAATATGGTCTGTCTTTATTCTTGGGCAGAACCATATGATTACTTTGGCAGGAGAGGTCGAAAAGAACCTGAAGCGCTTGCAGCTGCATCATTAAAACGATTGTTTGTGGAGAATCAGCCTTATTTAGTAGGTGGATACTGCCAACATGGATCATTAAATGATCCAGAGCCTTCTGGCAGAGGAGTCTGCTCTAAATTCTTTTGTAGCCAACAAAGGCTGAGAACCTCTCTGATTGACTCATCAAACAACATACTTTCTATATCTGAAAAATATAAGTTTATGAGGGAAACTTTTCGGAAGCGGCTGGCATTTGGTAGGGAATAATTCTGTTCAATATGTATTTTTTTGATAATGGTTGGGGAAACTGAAATTGTGTACTTTCTTGGATAGTTGACTTTTACTTCTTAGGGTTGTGGTTTGAGATTTTAACAATAGAGCGACCCTGTCTGACATAAGATTAAATACTTGAATTTTTCAAGGGAAATCAAGAATTCATGGATTTGGCATCTTTGCAAAGCATCCACATAAAGGTGGAGACATGGTAAGGAGAATATTTTCCATTTGAATAATCCCTTGTTAGAGCATTTAAACTTTTAAGGGTTTACATATTGATTTTATTTATTCAGGTGATTGAATACACTGGTGAACTAGTTAGACCACCAATAGCTGACCGGAGGGAGCATTTTATATACAATTCGTTGGTGGTAAGTATTTCTGAATTATAAAATGAGCTTGAAAGGAAGGGAACATAATTTTAGTATATCAATTTCAAGCACTATATAAAATCCACTAGTAGCTTATATTAATATGTTAATACTGATTTAAAGCTAATAAATGCTTCTGATTGAACATAATTTTGATGTCTCTAAAATCTTAAACTAAAAGAGACAATAGATAATGTACCTTTGATTTTCATCATTAATGCACCTTCTGGATTGTTGTGTAGGTTCTTATGATGGATGTACTAACCTGTGTTTCTTTCCCTTATGCAGGGTGCTGGAACATATATGTTTCGGATTGATGATGAACGAGTCATTGATGCTACTAGAGCAGGAAGCATTGCTCATTTAATTAATCATTCATGTGCAGTATGTTCTCTCACATTTCATTTTATATTTTTCATGATTTCATCTGGTTGATATCAAACATTGCCATTTTAATCAACCTTTTGATGTATGAAACTCACTTGATAGTTTTTAATGTACTGTTTTAGCTTACTATTTGAATACTGGAGCCTGCAGGATTTTCTAATTTTTATTATTGGGGGTTGTATGTTTGAGATACTTAAGATATGTAAATTTTTTGACAGATTTGTAGTATTGTTAAATAACATCTGATAAGATGGATTGCATTGATTGTGGAACAGTTTGATTGGACCTATAAAGGCTTTAACTTACACAGTTTCCCTTTAAAATGTAAATATATTATTGCTTTGGTTGATACTGATATACACTAGGTTTGATGTTAGTACCAATGTTCTGAGTTTTCTGGCCACCAGATGGTGTTGTTTGTTGCTATTTTAAGGGAACAATCTTGGTATTTTGCCCCCATTTTTGAAACCTACTCCAATCTTGCTTGGCCTCACAATTCAGTGAGTAACTATCTGATGAAGACCCAGCCATTTCTGACATCATAACGGCATTTTCCAGCCATTTCCTCTCAAGATTTTATTGTTCTGGCTGAACCCTGACTTTTACAATGTTGCTCATCCTGTTATTTCTCCTCTTAAAGTCTGGTTGTTTTGTTTTTGTCCTGTGCTCTCTTGTCTTTTTCCTACATAATATATACATGTGTAGTAGCATAAATTATGCAATGCGTACCTTGACTTGAAAATACCAGTCATCTTGCTACCTGATATATATAGCTGCTTGGTGCGGCTTTATGAAATTGACTACTATGCTGTTGACATTAGTTTGGAAATACTGCAATTCAACTGGTTTATTTACTGAGGAACTCATGCAGTTTTATTCTGGTTGCTTACCTATATAATTTTTGTTTGTATGCAGCCAAATTGCTATTCAAGAGTTATAAGTGTCAATGGCGATGAGCATATCATAATATTTGCGAAGAGGGACATTAAACAGTGGGAAGAGCTTACATATGATTATAGGTTTCCCTTCTTCTCTAAATGATTACTGATAGGTTCACAATAAAACCATACAAACATCACTTCTGTGTTTGTAGTAATTGTGTGTGTAGCACTACACTTGGCAAATGTTGTAATTCTAATTGAATATTGTGCTGACTTTCTTCGATTCATCTGACAGATTTTTCTCAATTGATGAACGGCTTGCTTGTTACTGTGGCTTCCCAAAGTGCCGAGGTATAGTAAATGATACAGAGGCAGAAGAGCGAGCTGCTACCCTATATGCACCACGAAGTGAATTAATAGATTGGAGAGGAGAATGAGGTAAGCGATGTTGATCTTTCTTGCCTTTCACGCTTGCTATGCACATGGTGTCCAATATCTTACGAATGACCTCCAATATTATCATTAGAGGGGCATTATGGAGGTAATTTTCGGGATTTTTGGTAAAATAGGGTTACAGCTCGGAGAAATCCTTGCAGAGTTAATAGCTGTCACGCTTCTCCTCTCTTACCCCGTGACTATTGCGTGACCCGTGTGACCCTGTGGTGACTCTACGGCAAACCCATCTAGTAGTTTTTTTACTTCTCAGCTTATGTTTTTTATTTAATTCACTTCTCTCGTAATATTTTTCTCATTATTTGCATTTTTTCATCAGTCTGTTTGTGTTTTTGTCTACTGAGTTTCGTTTACCCTCTTTTCTTTTGTTTTATCCTGATCTAAGTGTCTTGAGTTTTTTTTTTTTTGGTTTCTGGTTGTTTTTCTGAGGTTTCTTGTAAGTTTTTCATTTTAGGGACAACCTAATCTCGTGATTAAATTGCTATTCATTATTAGGCCTTTTTTTTTTTCCTTTTATTGATTTTATTTTATTTTTGCAGATTTTTAACCCTAATATTATGCATGTAAGTTCCTTCTGAAGATGAATTGTTTGTCCAACAACTTCTGTCACGGATTCTATCATTTCCCTGAAAGGACAGTGTTGTACATAGCACATCTGATTCTTCCCATTGTTTCTTCATAACCCCAACTGAGCGGTTTATGTTGGCTAAAGGCGGTTTCCATTGGAGTTCTGCTTATAATGATTGGAAAGATGTCACCAGACTTTTTACAAATGTTTCATTTGAAATTCATTGCCACAATTACGACCCGTTTAACTTCAACCAACTTGCTGAGATATTGTAACTTGTCATTGGATAGGTACAGTTGTAATTACCTCAAACCTTCATAAAAATGAAAAGAAATTGAGATTTCAAATGGAAGTACTTGCCGATTGTGTCATTGCCTCCGGAGTTTAGGTATGACAGATGTGTATAAATAACTAGCTTGATAGTCATTATAGAAGTTAATACCATGCAAACGAAAATAAATCAAACCTTTTACCTATGCGGAACTCAATGCATAATTGGGCCATAAAGTGAGACTAAACAATATCAAAGTGCCTGTTATATGTTTTATATGTTCATTATTAGTTTTGTCTGTTTCAGGATTGATGAAACAAAAAACCACTTCTAGTCTAATCACTTGCAATAAGTAGAATAACGACTCATTAGGAATATTTGAAGTTTTGATTTCTTAGTTGCATCCAGTTTCATAAAATAAGCTGAATGCAAACCTTAATATATTTTTTGGAAGTTCATAATATTTGGATTCTCATTATTTTAGAAATATGTTTATTACAAATGGGACCTTGACTTAATTGGTAATTATTAGGTTATAAAATAAATGGTTAATTCATCAATCGTGATGATAGATTTTTTTTTATTTTTTTTTTATTTTTTTTTTTTGTGTGATAGTCTCACGCTTTTATTGATGCTCTTATGGCATTTTACATCATCTAGATCTGTTGATTGAAGGGTGGAAGCTCATTCGTAAATCTTATTCAAATGCACTTGTGTGCTTGAAAGATCAAGATGGATTTATAAAAAAAATGCTTCAAGAGAGGTATGTACCCCTGGAATTGATCCTGATTTGAGATGTTTTAAATTCTAATTCTAATGGGGTGGTGGTTTATGAATTCTTACAGCCAACACCTCTGGGCAATTAAGGTATTTTTCTCTATATATGTCTTGGTAACTAACAGATTTAATTGTTATTGTAAATATTCTAATTTAGTTGAAATGTAAATTTCCCGTAAATTAGAAAACCAGTCTTCGTTGGCATAGTTATTGTGCTATGTGTTTGCTATTTCCCTTGAAGTAATGTTATTTATTGCTTATTATTTCTTGCTTCATTTAAGAGGAACTTCTATTATATGTCTATTGATATAAAGTTTTCTATTTACATTTATCATCATTAAAATAAGAAAGAAAAATAAAAACTTTTCTATAAATTAACTTATACATATAGAGTATGTCTGAAAAAACTTTTTCTTAAGCACTTCTAAGATAAGAAAATAAAAATTTCCCTATAAATTTAAATAAACTTATGCATAAGTTTAGGATTAGATTTTAGGTTTGATTTTGAGAAAGTTAATATAAGAAAATTTTAATTGAAACATATTAACAACTATTATTTAATATTCTATGGATAATTTTCTCTCTCTCTTTATGTATGTTTATGAAAAAAGTTATTGAAACTATCTTGTTTAATACGAAAATATTTTTCAAATTAGTGTTATATTTTTTTTCTTTTACCATACCTTATATGTTCGCCTAGTCTCAACATCCTATAGTTTACTATCAGAAAGGGTGTTGTTTAAACTTTCAAGGTCTGTTTCTATGTAGGAAAAAGTTAAAAGTTAAAATTAATTATTATAAGGAACTAAATAATAATAAAAAAATTCTTATTCTATACTAAAAAACGTAAGAAAGAAAATTTATAATATATTTTAAAATTTTACATGTTTAACTTTTTACTCGGGAGAAAAAAAAACAAAAAATAGAAAAGAAAATGTTAATTGTCAAAATCAATCTTCTCCCTTTTAAAAATAAATTATGAATATCTTTCTGATAATATATTTACTTATTTTTATTTATTTATTTATTATTTTTAAAATAACAATTTTCATTTCTTTTTATTCATTTTTTATTCAAATAAATAATTATGTTTTTTACTTTATTTTAATTTATTTTTTTCTTATATTTTATTTTCTTACAACCGAACATAAATTTAAAACCATTTTTCAGACTTATTTACATTTTACATTTTTAATAAAATATATGTGGGTTATCAAATAGTAAATCGAGATAGAATTTACATAACTATTAAGATATTTATGAGTTGTCAAATAATAAATTAAGATAAAAAAATTATTGGTGACTATAGCTTGTTTATAATCTTAATCAAATTTTATGTGATATTTAATTATATATTATTAATTATTTTATTTAAAATTTTAAATATCACTTAAAAATTGGATAAATCATGGTGATCCAAGACTATATAGTGGACCTAGTGGCCCGAAACTATTTAATAATTTTTCCTACAGGCTTCCTTCTCTTAAATTAAACTTATTTTCAAGCCACACTATTTAATATAATTTCAGTTGTATGTGTATTATTTTCTTTAATTAATTCTAGGAAAATGTTACGCAGACAACTTTTTTTTCCTTGAAACATCCCTTAAAAACTCAGTTTAAGTATTATAATAATTATTTTTAATCATTACCTTGACAAATGTATATTATGTTATTAAAAAGTAGTTGTCGTTGAGAGGAATTATAGAGACTGAGGATATCATCAGCCATCCATATTCTAATTGATGAGTCTAACAATGTATAGCAAAACTTAAATGATGTATTAATAAAAGTAAGATAATGATAATTCTAAACATGTAGGTGATGATGGCATGACAGATATGAGATAGAGAGTAATGTTATAAGAAAAAAAGGAAGCAGAATGAGCTATATCTTTCGAACTTAATCAAGCATTAACTGATATTTTGCCAATTTGAACAACCATACACAGATTCAAACTCAAACTCCAAATATGAAAGCGATTCAATCACAGATAGTCTCTACTGAGTGAGATAGACATTGAAATGCAGGATGGTGTCCACCCCATCGGTGGTGTGCTGGTCCTCCTTCAGAAGGGTCTCAAGTGAAGCATACCCTCTTGCATCCTCATACTTCCCAGTTCCACCAATCACTGCTATCTCAGATTCCGTTGAAGCTGTTCTATGAATCCCGAAGAGACTTATACTGTCCTCCAATCCTTCATGATGTTGATCATGTTCACCACCATGCACCAAAATAGTCAGCAAAATGGTCTGGCTAGTGCCATCCAATGAACTTGCCATATAGAACCCTTGCGCCCTTCCAATCACAGCAGAATCTAGCTCATGCCCTTCTGTTAATTGGTCATCAATCACTGTCACCGACCCGAACATGAGCTTCTGGATGGAGATCCCTGCAGGGAGGTTACCTGCCGAGACAAATGGCTGGTTGTTGCTACCAGTTACAGTGTTGCTGGTGCCACTGTTCTTGAACACAGTGGAGGATTGTGCACCACTGAGACCAACAAGGTTTGGAAGGTTGTTGTTGGTGATGATGCCATTGAGCTTGGGGTTGACCAGTGGGATTCCTCCAGTGATTGGAAAGAGGTTGTTGTTGAGCTTGGAGAATGGTAGGCCAGTGACATCAGTGTTTGCTACAATTCCTGCCACTACTCTTGCTGATGGATGTGACCCTCCAAGGATGTCATGCATGAAGAAAGAGAAGGATGGCTCTTTTGCCACAGAATTTGGTGCCACAGGTGTTGCATTAGGAATGTCTAGCGCTTCTGGGGTTTTCTCTGGGTTAGGAGTTGCCACTGGTGTAATGTCCTCTGCTGGAGCTTCTGTTTCTGGAACTGGGGGTTCTGCATTGTCATCTTCAACTCCAGATTCTTCTACAGCAACAGGGTTGATGGTGGTGGCTGCAGGTGTTTGGCCACTTGGCAAAGTAGTTGCAGGGTTTACCTGTTAGGATGAATGGATGCCATTGATGTATTGGATATGAAGATGCGATTAAATTTAAAAATACATAAGATAAGTGTGAAATATTTATCTATGGATAAAAATTGATAAAACATAATAAATAAATCCGAATTTAACATCATACTTCTTAGATATTAGTAAAAACAAATCAGAAACTACAAGTATAATTATCATAATAATAAATCACGTACTATAATGATTTCAATTTCATTCCTTTCTTTAAATCATCAATCAATATTTGTTTTTCATTTTTCTATCATTAAAGGATACGGCTCTATATTTCTTTATTATATACTTATACAGGGTCCTATATCTCATACATAGCTATATTAAAACCTTTTATCATTTTCTACAGATATGAATACTTCATAGAAATATATCAAGCAAATATCTAAAAGTATGTGTTGTGAGTTAGAATCATATACACAAGTGAAATAAATGAAAATATTAGAGCTTAGCCTACCTGTGATGTGGTGGTGGCTGCAGGTGTTTGGCCAATTGGCATAGTGGTGGCTGGACCTACCTGTGGTGTGATTGTGGCTGGACCTGTTGTGAATGAAGGATTGACAGCTCCAGGTGCTGCTAGATTACCTATGGCTTGGGGTTGGGATTCCACTTCATCTAGGATCCTCGCAGAGCTGGCAATAAAAAAGGTTGTGGTTAGAAACAAAAGGCAGAGGGTGACCTTGCAAGTGTGACCTTTGTGTTCGACATTGGCCATTTTCACAAAAACTGGTGCTGGTGGGGGAATGTGCTTTACTAGGATTTGAGAGGAAGATTTCGTTATTCATGAAGATGATTTGTGGCTGTGTTATATATATACACAAACCTACGAGTAGAGTGTATGTATTCATCCTAATGTGGAGCTGATAGAATTTGGTCAAGGAAAATGTGGAAACAAAAACTTTAATGGAGTGGTTGGATATTGGCTTGTTATGGGGTGTTTTAGTTAAAACAACTCCTCATCAATTAGTATTGGTATTTGTTGCTAACAAAACTACATGGTTAGAATGACACTGCTATGATGTGATGAACAATTGGATGATACAAAAGTTATAATTGGAGGGGGTGATAACCTTCTCTCTATTTTTGTATGATCAAAGGTATGGTTTCCAGGGGATACCATTAATATATTCAAAGAAATGAAGTTATAAAAAGTTGGAATCATTATTAATTACAATAATCACTAAAAACATTGGATCCCAGTGAAATCATTACGCAAAATACAGTAAAAAAAAAGGTTGGAGGTTAAATGAAAGAGGAGTGATATCAACACAATACTGTGAAAACTTATTTCTCTTGAAGTTCAACTTCTCATCGTGAGATTTGTGTGGCTTTATAGCATTATGTATTTTTTAACCATGCACTTTTTCACAAAAAATATATGTTACTATATTCATGAAAAAAAATGTGATATTTTGTGAACAACTAGTTCCAGGTCTATAATAGTTTTAAATATGTTTATATGAAAAAAAATGTTTATATATTTTTTATTGAAATAATTAGTTTATATGTATTATAATTATATGATTTTTATATAAATATAAGGTGATCATAGGTTATAATTTTTATTGAAAACTTAATTTAAATTACGGATGCCTAGAAAACATATTGATAAAAAATATTAAATACGAGAAGAATAGAGAGATGAGAAAATAATAACACAATCTTATGAAAAAGACTAAAAATAATTGAATAAAATGAAAAAAAAATCAACTAATTTTATTTAAAAAATTAAAGAGAATTTTTATAATCAAAACTTAAATTTGAAAAGGAATATATTTATATTATAAAACTAGGATTCAATACTAAATAACCCGTCCTATGAACATTTAGAAATTTAATAGTATAAAAATGAACTCTAATTAAAATATATATATATATATATATATATATATATATATATATATATATATATATATATAGAAATAATTATAAGGAGTAAATTTAATTAAATAAAAAAATCTATTTCCTATGAAATATCGTCATTTTCTCGTAATAATTCTTTTTGTACGCTTTATTCTACATTAAAAATTATCAGGATTATTTTAAATGGTGAAATACCTTAAAATACTAATTAAGTGTCTGTTAAAAAAAATATAATTCATTATACGCTCATTAGTATTATCAACAGTGAAAAATAATCATATTCTATAATCATGAAAAATCAAATAAAGTAATTATCATATGTACCCAATAAAAAAATTTATTTAGATTCAATTACTCTGGATTTTTACTTTAAATTAAAGCATTTAAAACCAATAAAGTCTAAATTTATAATTTCAATTATACTGAAAACTAACATTTATTAATTCCTAACATTATAGTTTTGCTTGTAATCAAATAAAGTAACTGAACTTAAAAAAAATCAATCCTAATTTCTTTAGTAATTTATTTTTTGTATTGAATGTTAATTACAATATCAATATATATATATCTTATCCACTGAAAATCACGTACTCAAAGTTGTTAATTCTTCTTCTTATTATTACTGCTAATTAAATATGCTTGACAAAGAAATTAGGAGTAATAAACACACTTGGCATCGATCAGTCACTTTCCAAATAAAGGGTTCTTAAGATTTGACATTACATGGGTAGGAACTGGGAAGAACTGCACATATCTTGCAAAATTCATGACTAAAGCCCAGAGAATGGCCCATTGAATTTTTTTGCCCTAGGAATCAACAAAAACTAATATATAAACTATACAGTAACTATACTCTTTTATACAGAATATAAATACTTTTATTATTATGTCAAAATGAAATATACACCTCAACTCATTATTTAATAATCGAGATTAGAATAATTTAAATATTTTTTTTATTTATTAAAATATTTTTTAAAGATAAAATTATGACAAATAAAATGTTTAGAATAATAATATTTTAATATTTTTTTAAACCAAATATTAATATCATGGAGTTGAATATTAAGTCTGGCTTTACTCATACATGATATGATATTATAAGTTTGTTTTTTATTATTTTTACTTAAATTAAAAAACGTAAAATTAATTAGCCGAACAATATGTTGACATGGACCCATACATCAGGAGTCTAATTTTTATATAATCTTCATTATGCGTCGTAATTAAAGTGAATTTCATTATTTCTAGTTCAATGCTTTCTTTTGATTAATAGTCATGTGAGTGATCTTTATTTTAACTTTGTTTTCAAATATAAAACTGAAGTTTGAGTTATAACACGTTAATACAAAATTCAATTAATTAATTAATTTTAAAAATACATAAATTAGATCCTTTTCAAAGTTTAATAAAGTTTCTCAATATTTTAAAAATGTAGCAATGTAATCATTTCATATGTTAAATTAACGTGATTAGTTTTATAAACAGCCATTATACATTGCTGGGTTAGAAAAGGGAATTTGTAAAAATACTAATACGTGTCACAATCATTCGCATTAGTTACATAGTTACGTAAACATCATTTTGATTCTTAAGAATTTAAAGCTTAATTTTATATTGCTTTTTCAAACTAAGAAAAATTAGAAATATGCTTTGTATAACATAATTATTTACCATCACTTCGATCTTTAATCACAAAAGTTAATATCATCATTTAAGTTAAACCTTTGTGTACTTTGCATTATCAAAATCTATAAAACGTCTTAAGGTGCATTAATTCATTAAAGATTATGATGAAAATACATTAAGATTACCTTCAATACAATATTGTAGAACACTGCTTAACATTCTGAAAACCTGTGCCCTAGTTGCACCACTAGTTAGTACTTGTAAAAAAAAAGTAAATAGAAAAATGAAGATTTAAAAGGAAAGAAGAAGGGAATATTTAGGGTTTGATGACATGCAAATTAAAGGCAAAAGGAGTTTTTTTTTTTGTAGATTGAAAGTTGTATATTACAACAACGCATCTTCCTCCTGCACTCTTCGTAAATGCCTATATATTTGTGCTTTGATAAAATTCAGCAAGCGTGGCCTGCAATGCAGTCATGGATATACAGAAACAATTCTAGTTGCAGCAGAGTTCTGTGGCAGCATCCACCTTATGCTTCTCTTTCTCTCTCTTTATATCAAATGATTAAAGAAATTCCCTTTGTCTAAGCAAGTTTATTTGACTTTTATATTTCTTAAAGGAATATTATTAAATTATAAGTTGGAAACCACTTCCATGTAGAGGTTTTGAAATAAAATTTACAGACGTGGTTTTAGGTATGTTGGTCCCTATACATAGAAAGATGAGAAATAGTTATATTTAAGAAACTGCAATGAAGAACAAGAATAATAATAGTAACAATAATGATGCAGAAAAGATTAAAAAAGAAAAGTTGAAGAAGAATATTCTTGAAGTGATGAAAGAAAGAGGGTTTACTTGTGTTGTAAGGGGACATGCAATACAAAGTGGTAAGCCGAAAGGAGGAATTTATAGAAAGTTGGCCCCCTTTTCACCCTGGGAGATGAGTAATGACCAACCCACAATCCACGACCCAATACAAATGGGATCAACAACCAAAACCCATCTCTTTTTCTCCCACAATTTTCTATCTCATGTTTTTGGATATTATAAACACTAAACCACCACAGCCATGGCTACCTTTTTCTCACGGACTAGTCCCTGTCACAGGATTACAATAAAGACACCATGTTTGTGTTTGTATTGGTACTTCTCATCCAAAAAGAAATGAAAAATCACCACTCAGCCTCCTGCACAGACGAGAAAGAAAAGAGCATGGCACAGAATATTGTACTCATGTCACAGTTCCATAGTTCACAGCTTTCTAAATAATAACCATGATTATTATAATCAAGAAAAGTTGAAGAAGGATAAGTAACAATTAGTACACTTATTTTTTCCACATGTATTCTCCTGTTAGAGGTACTGTTCAACATTAAATATTATCACATCTAATGAAGTTTATAACCTTCCTTGAGGGTACATTTGCACTGTGGAAGACTAATCCATTATATATCCAACTTTCGTTGTTTCAATCATATATCAGTCACACGATTATTTTAAGCTTTTTTTTCGTTTTCAATGGTTGATTTATACAATAATGCTATGCATGGCAGAAACTAAATTTTATTGTTTCTATCTGGTTCATTCCCAACAATATCGTTGCATATACATTCCTTGATAAAAGAAAATGTTTTGTTTGATTTAGAAGTGTCTTGCACTTTTATTTGCTGAGCTTAGAAGCTACGCTGCGCACTGTGTAGGGAAATAATGGTTTTCTATAAAAGATGAAGAATCTTTACTTGCATGACTGACTAGGAGGCCATGTCATTTCCTCCTCCACCATTATTAATGAATTGTATATATAATATATATGTGCATGCATGGTGGTGATGACAATACGGTCTGTAATTTGCATAGTTGCAGTGGAGGACATGCCCTATATGTATCTATTTTCTCACTTTCAAAGCTATGTATGCACTATGCAGGGTGTAGGATGATTAGACTAGCAATCATCATTTTTCTAACTTCCGTGTTCCCAAGAGCCACAGTGAAAGAAAGAATATACATGATGGATTGTTCATTCATAATATCTACACATTTTTTTTAGTTCTTTCTAGTTTTTTAATGAATGTTCCCCTCAATGAATTTTAAAATTCGACGTCTGATAAAAAAAAATCCTACAAAATGCTGTAACACAGAAGTTATCTCCCACTAACATTTCCCCAGAAAAAAGCTTTTCAATGAAGGAAATAAAAAAGAAAGTTGTGGCAGTTTTTACACTG